TATGCAGCAATGCAGAGTAGGCACCTGCCTACCCAAAAGGCAGGCGCCTACTCTGCTTTCGTGTCGGGAGGCAGGGGGAGGGATCGAGGAAGCAGCTCTCCTGTCCTCCCGCGAGTAATCTGTGTGGAACGTTGCAGCGCGTTACCATGGCAACACTCCACACAGCATCGCGCGGAAGGTCAGGAGAACTGCTCCCTACAGTACTTACCACCAGGGATGGCTGTGTCCCCCCCTCCTTCACCAAAGGTAAGAATAAGGGAGGGATTGGAGATACAGATTTAATATACCTTTTTTATTTTTTTATTAAATGTATCTTTACCACCCCTACAACCCAACACACAGTACCCCCCCACACACAGCACCCCCCCACACACAGCACCCCTACCCCCACACACACACAGCACCACTACCCCGCCACACACATCACTACTAACCCCCACACAGCACCAATACCCTCCCACACACAGCACCACACACAGCACCACTACCCCCACACACAGTACCCCTACCCTCCACACAGCACCCCTACCCAACACACAGCAATATTCAGCAGTCTATATGTGTATGTACTCAGCAGTGTGTGTATTCAGCAGTCTGTGTGTGTGTACTCAGTCGTCTGTGTGTGTGTAATCAGCAGTCTGTCTGTGTATTCAGCAGACTGTGTGTATGTATTCAGCAGTCTGTGTGTGTATTCAGTCTGTCTGCATTTGTATTCAGCAGACTGTGTGTGTATTCAGTCTGTCTGCATTTGTATTCAGCAGACTGTGTGTATGTATTCAACAGTCTGTGTGTGTGTGTGTGTGTGTGTGTATTCAGCAATATGTGTGTGTGCATATTCAGCAATCTGTCTGTGTGTGTATTCAGCAGTGTATGTATTCAGCAGACTGTGTATATGTATTCAGCAGTTTTTGGGTGTATCTATTGAATTTGTTGGAGATACTAATAAATATAAGCTTAATTTTATCTATTTATATCATTATTTAAAATTTGTATAATTGAACTCTCTGTTGTTGTTTTCTTCTTTTAAAACAAAAGTTGTTAATTAGTTCGGACAACTGTACGAGTTGTTTTTTCTAAACTTAAACCTCAGTATTCAGGTTTCATTGCCGTGTTGGCACTTTGAGGAAAAAAAAGTTGGCATGTATTACGGTTTGGGCACTCTGGCTCAAAAAGGTTTGCCATCACTGTCCTAGAACCTCTGTGTGTCTTTCTTCCACTCAGCCACTTCATGTGTCTTCCACCCCCCACAGTCCCTCTGCATCTCTCCCAGCACCTTGTCTTTCTTTTCCTCAGCCCCTTAATATACTGCCTATTTTTGGCAATAAACCCTCTTTTTAGCTTCTCATCTGAGAAACAAGTTTCCATTATTTGTAATGAATATTGTCCTACTGTTGAAGAACCTAGTTTCTACACCCTTATCTTCCAAACATAATATTTGCATTTTGTACTAGAGGGGGGATGACTCAAATTGGCCAACAGAGCACCCGGAAACAGGTACCAACGAAGTAGTAGTTATACAGTAGCCCTAACAAAGTCAACGAAACCCCACAGACTAAGATTCGGACCTGAGGGATGACTATAGTTAACGCGCAATTAAATCCAATGACTGTGACTCAAAAATACATAATATGACTAACACAGACCAAACGAGGTACAGGCAAACATATTAATATTATTATTACTATTACTCATACTACAACGCAGCTTTCGAGTTATATCTGTAGACAAGGTTACCAGCGCGTGACTAAATTCCACACGAAACTAACTAACTGTCGACACTAAGTTCCCATCTCGCACGAATAAGATTCTAGTTGACTGTACAGTTGGGACAACTACATTCTGTATATGCAAAAGTCATAACTTTGTCATTCATTGTATCTTTGAGATCCATGTTCTGTACATATGCTTGTACCATCCAAACTGTATGTCTCCTTACCGATGTTATATTCAAAATGTATCGAAATGCGTTTTATTTGACAAAAATAAATAAATAAATAAATAAAAATATTTGCATTTTGCTTACATCCGTCACAGAAGAAGCAATATAAAGATACAAAATTAAGCCCTGTGTTCAAACCCCCATTACTCCTGGGCAGCAGCAATCAGGGTCGACCTTAGGCCTTTAGGCGCCCTGTGCAAAAAAAATTCACAGTGCCCCTCCCTGGTCACACCTGCTCCATCCATGTATAGTGTATATATAAGGATGTAGTGTTTGTATAGGGACTATTTAATTCAGATTTTTTTTAAAAAAATGTGTGAGTGCTAGTGTGTATTTTTGCAGTGTCCTTTTTGCACTGTTTATGGCAAAGCTATGTTTCATGACTGTTTGTATAATGATTGTCTTCAGGGGTGACTGTGACTGGGTGAGTAAAGGGGTAACTGTGGCAGGGTGAGTGTGACAGGGCAAGGGAGTGAATGAGACAGGGTCAGGGGGGTGAGTGTGACAGAATGAGGGAGTGAATGAGACAGGGTCGGGTTGGGTGAGTGTGACAGAATCAGATAGGTTTGGAGAGGTTAATGTGATAGAATGAGTGTGGCAGAGTGAGTGGTGGTGAGTGCGGCATGGTTGGAGGTGGTAGTGTGACAGGATCAGAAGGGGTTAATATAAGTGTGGCAGAGTGAAGGAGAGTTACAGTGTGTGGAAGGGGGGTGACAGTGTGTCTGTGTACGGAGTGTCAGTGTATGTGAGGGGGTGACATGGCGTGTGTTGATGGGGGTTTGGATAGGAGTGACAGACTGTGAAGGGTGGTGACAGTGTTGAGAGGTGAGACTGTAGAGGGAAGTGACAGTGTGAAGGGGTGACAGACTGTGGCGGGGGGTGACAGACTGTAGAGAGAAGTGACGGTTGTCACGGGCCCGGCGGTCCTGGGGGGCCCGAACTGCTTTGGATAATCGCTATATATATGTGCAGTGCAGGTGTAGCCGCGGGCCCCCGGCTCCCTGTATTTGCAGAGGGGGTCCAGCGGACTGCAGGAGCACTTTACAGATCTTCCCTCTCTCTAACTCCTGCGAGACGTGCGGCCGTTAGAGAAAGGGAAGATCTGTAAAGTGCTCCTGCAGTCCGCTGGGCCCCTTCTGCAAGTACAGGGAGCTGGGGGGCTCACCATGCCACCGGGGATCATGGAATCTTCCCCCCTCCCTGGCCCAGGTAAGAAACAGGGAGGGGGGAATAACTTTCATTACATTACATGCATACCCTAGTAAACACACACACTCTGCATTCATTACACTAACACACACTGCATTCACTACACTGACACACACACACTCTGCATTCACTACACTAACACACACACTCTGCATTCATTACACTAACACACACACTCTGCATTCACTGCACTAACACACACACTGCATTCACTACACTAACACACACTCTGCATTCACTGCACTGACACACACTCTGCATTCACTGCAATAACACACACACTGCATTCAATACAGGAATTGGAAAAAGACGATAATAGATTCATGGCAACAATGTAAAGAAGCCATTATTCATCAATGTAAGATGGAAAGAGGAATATCTTCTAATTTCTGTATTAGTACGGAGAAATACAAAATTTGGGATAAATTAATTAAGATCCTTGAAAGACCTTTACCAGTTAAATGATTGACACACGTATTAACAAATAATGAATTGTAGAGATAAGGAAAATAACTTATGGATAGGGTAAGAGCTATAACCCATAAACATGCTGTTTTGATTGGGTTTGTATGTTTTTATGTCATATCTGTAACATTGGATGATATGTTATAATCATCTTCTGTTTGAGTATTTATGTCTGTAAAATGTATATTTTTGTAGTGTCATTGAGAAAACCAAATAAAATATTTATAAAAAAAAAAGTTATCTTTAGTTTTTTACTCCAAAAGCAATTTATAAAAATAATTACTTTTATTTTTATTAAAAAGTCAGATCTAAAAAAACGAAATATTTGAATGCACCTATAAATACTGATCAGCTATATCATAAAAATCACCAATAGGTGAAATAAATATTACAAATTGCAATGTCACCTGTCAAGGAGTGGGATGCATCAGGCTGCAAGTAAACAGTCCGTTCTTGAATTCCATGTGTTGGAAGCAGGAAAAATAGGCAGGTGAAAAGACCTGAGTGACTTTGACAGGGGGCCATATAGTGATGGTTAAGCGACTGGATCAGAGCATCTCCAAAATGGCAAGTTTTGTGGAGTCTTCCTGGTATGCAGTGGTTAGTACCTAACATAAGTGGTGCAAGGAAGGACAACCAGGGCATCCCGAGCATAAAGGTCAGCAACTTGGATTAACACGCAAGTGGCGAAATGGGCGTTTTCAGTGAAAAGAAACTGACAAATGGTTACACTAACTAGTAAAACGCAGCTCCTAGCGGGTTGTGCCTATTAAGAGAGTATGGGGAAATATCTTCTCCTGTAGGCCTTAAGATAAAATTGTGCTGTTACAAATTCTATTTAATTGACATATTCTGCACAGACTAGTAGAAAGATTGGACATTTGCAGCCATCTTCCTCGCTTCCAAAACATCAGCCAAAGACGAGTGGCTATAAGAAAAAGAGTACATAGTTATAAACAGCATCCTTCTGTATTGCATTTGCTGGAAAATTATACAGCGTATATATTAAAAGTATAAAGTACCTGAAGTTGGTTGTACTCATCCACACTTATGTATGACCGATTCAGTTTAAAACATTGGTTAGCAGATCCTATTTCTTGACACTTATGAGTAAGGCAACAAGGCATATTTAAAAAAAAAATAAAAAATTTAAAAACCGCTGAGGCACCAACAATTTTCATTATTTTATTTAAGTGAAAATTAAATATACTAGATAATTCTGATCCTAACCAGAATGGATTTTCACGGCAATTAGGAAAAGACATTTCTTCAGCCATCACCATATGTGAGATTTCTAGATTCTGTGGTGAATTCCAAAGCTAAAAATTCAGTTCAACCAAGTCAAAAGGTAGTCGGGATATACTTTGAAAAAGGTTTTTTTTTTGTTTTGTTTTTTAGCCATGTTTTCGCACCTCAAAAAAACATAGCAGATTTGTATAGAATAATTGTATAGCTGACCCATCTCCCCTATGCTTAGTGTGAGAAGAGAACATTTCCTGCGCAGTTGGTTTATACTGGGTTCCAGGGTTCTTGCAGTGTTTAATATATGCTGTATGGCTGTTTGTAGGAGTTGATAAATTGACAAAAAAGTAAAGAAAGAAACTACATCTTCTATACCAGTGATGGCGAACCTTTTTGAGCCCGAGTGCCCAAACCGCAATACCTGCCAACTTTTTTCCCCTCAAAGTGCCAACACAGCAATTAAACCTGAATACTGAGGTTTAAGTTTAGAAAAAACAACTCGTACAGTTGTCCGAACTAATTAACAACTTTGTTTTAAAAGAAGAACACAACAGAGAGTTAAATTATACATATTTAAATGATATAAATAGATAAAATTAAGCTTATATTTATTAGTATCTCCAACAAATGCAATACATTCACACACCGGCCGCTAAATACACATACAGACAGACTGCTGAGTACACACAGACTACTGCGTACACACAGATACTGCATTAAGGGGTGCATTGTATGTGTTTGTGTGCAAGGGTGTGGAGTGCTGTGTGTGTGTGTCTGTCTGAGGGGTGCAGTGTGTGTGTGTCTGAGGGTACATTAAAATATATATATATTTTTTTTATTAATTCTGTATCCCCCCCCCCTTCCTCTTACCTTTGGTGAAGGAGTGGGGAAGGGAAGGGGGGGGACACAGCTATCCCTGGTGGTCCGGTGGTGGTAAGTAGGTTTGTGTGAAGCAGCTCTCCTGTACTCCCGCGCGATGCTGTGTGGAGCATTGCCATTGTAACGTGCAGGACAGGAGAGCTGCTTCCTAGAGCCCTCCCCTGCCTCCCGACCCGGAAATAGAGTAGGCGATTGCCGTTTCGGGCAGGCAGGTGCTTACTCTGCAGACAGCCAGCAGCCCCCTCACCCGGCGACCTATGGCCGTGTGCCCACAGAGGGGGCCCGGCGTGCCACCTGTGGCACGCATGCCATAGGATCACCATCACTGTTCTATACGCTCCTAAAAAGGTAAAATACATTTAGTTTATATTAACAGGCTTTATTTGATTAAGTAATAAACAGTTTAAACATTAAGTATATAGTAGATAGCATAAATGATAGTAACCCTGACCACTTAATCTCAATGAAGTGATCTGGGTGCAGTGGTCCTATCATTTTAACTGTTCCATGTAAAACAATGACATTTCGTTAAAACAGCAATGTTTACATGGAAGAGCTAAATGCACCGCTAGGGGATCTCTTCCTGACAGCCATTAAAGCCACTTCAGCCTCCATAGCAAAAGTTAAACTTCGCTATTCAATCAGATGGTCTCACAAACATGTTTGTATTCCAAGCGCGAGGTGTTCCTTTAACCCCTTAAGGACACATGACATGTCATGATTCCCTTTTATTCCAGATGTTTGGTCCTTAAGGGGTTAAAGGGACACTAAAGTCCCCAGGACAACCACAGCTTATTTTATTTGTTCTGGTGAGTAAAATCATTCCATTCAGGGTTTTTTGTTTTGCAGTAAACATTGATTTTGCAGCGAAAATGCAGTGTTTACATTAGGGCTACCTCCACTGGCCACAAGAGGTGCTTCCTGGGGCAGTGCTGCATACACACTGAACTGAGGAGATGCTGATTGGCCAAGGTTGTGTTTGACTTGTGCTGGCTCTGCCCCTGATCTGACTCCTTGACAAACTCACCCAATCCACTGCTTTTCTAAGTGAAAGCATTGTGATTGGCTTTGAGAAACACTTCTGATGATATCAGCCAAGAAGGCAGATCAGAGGCAGAGCCAGGAGCAGCAGCCTGGAGTAGAGGCAAGATTTTACTATATTTAGGAGGGCTAGATGGTGTTTAACATTATAGTATCAAAAATACAAGTTTGTGTTCCTTTAAGTACAAAATCTGTTTCATACCTGTGAATGCAACAGGTCAAATGGATGCTTATTAACAGAAATCTAGACATTTCAAATTTTAGTTTTTTGTTTGTTTTGCTTTTTGTATGCATTGATGGAAAAAAAAACGATTTTTATTATACATTTCTTTCATCTGGCAGAGAAGCAAGGTTTGGTTACCTTAATTGACCAACTGCTGCTCAACATAAGTTTGCCTGCTGCTGTGATTGCTCTGTCTGAAAACTACAGTAGGCAACTTCTGTTGAGCAGCAGTTGGTCAGACAATAGAGTGACTCAACATGGCTGCTCAGATGTGCATAGAGTATAGTCTTCTTTCTATAATCAATCATGTCACTGTCTCCAGCCAAAGGTCTCAAACATCCCGAATTAATGGCAGCTCAGTGTGGGGTTATAAACTGCCAGCCCACTGAGGGCAGAACTTGCAGGGTCCTGGAGCCCTGGGTGTAGTGTAATCGGGAAGGTTGGGAGGTATGCATTGGTAAAATGGAGAATGTTCAGGAGTACCCAAATGGTAGATCCCCAGATGTTTTAGAACTACAACTCCCATTATGCTTTGCATTAGGGATCAACAGATATTGATTTAAGAGCAGATAATCTGAACTTTCATACCGATATTCTGTGCATTCACAATTTGAAGGAAAAAAAATTTTAAAATTCTGCACAAATCTTTTGTTAGCCGAACAGGTTTAATGTATAGGTTTTCTTTTGTAAATCTTTCTTTGATTGTTAAATACATAAACAAGTTAACCCATTGGTCATTATGCAGAGAAGCAAGTGTCCCCTTTCCTCTGCTCTGGCTGACACAGATTAAGTCCACTCCTCATTTTACTTTTATTTCTCCCAACATCATCACACTCTTTAATTTTACATCAGCTAAAAGTTAAACAAAATCTCCTTTATATTTATTTTTTACTTCGCTAAATCCATTCCACAATATATTATGTATTTGTTGCTTACTATGACTTTTGCAAGGCATTACAGCATGGATAGAATATACATATATACACATATATACATACATACATACACACACTAAACAATTTTTTTTTTTAATCTTTCAGATTGTAGTAGTTTTATTTAAAGGAACAGTGTAGTCACCAGAACAACAACAGCTTATTTCATTTGTTCTGGTGAGTAGAATAACTACCTCCAGGCTTTTTGCTGTAAACACCGCTTGTTTCAGAGAAAATGCAGTGTTTACATTACAGCCTAGTGATAACTTCACTGGCCACTCCTCAGATGTCTGTTAGAGAGCCTTCCTGGGTCATGGCTGCCTAAAATGCATCCAAACATTCAGTGTCTCCACTCTCTGCAAGTCAAGGCTAAATAGGGTCCTGGAACGAGGCACATGTGACAGGGAGGGGTTAAAAACCAAGGAGTTGGCCTGGACTCCTAAATATATAAATGAAACCAAGAAGGCTGCACTCACCTGAACATGCATACATTATAGGGTGCTGCTGGGGCCAAAATATACAACATACAAAATACACAATCCAGCGCACTCGCTGGCAGGCTTATGCAATGTATGATCATGTAATGTAACTAAATCCCCATTATTTTTTGCCTAGGTAAGGTGTTTTTAAATAAAACTACTACAATGTGTAAGATTTAAAAATCATTGTTTAGTAAATAAGCGAGTGCGCTGGATTGTGTATTTTGTATGTTGTATATTTTGGCCCCAGCAGCACCCTATAATGTATGCATGTTCAGGTGAGTGCAGCCCTCTTGGATAGAGATATATAGATATCTACATTTAAATATATTGTGTGAAAGAAATGTGAGACTGAGTATTGGAGTAAATAAAATTAAATACTTGGCTTGTTCACCCAGATCAGCAGCCCGGCCCCAAAAAATGTGCACTAGAAGAAAGCCCAGCACACATGCTACTTCAGCTCCTCTCTCCAAGTCGATTCGCAAGCCTGGTGTTGCCGAGCGGAGAGAGGAGATAAAGATTGCGAGCGCCGGGCCACCTGCACCTTTTACATTATCGGCAATATCTGTAACAATAGTGGCAGATACTGATATTTGCCAAAATTTGGAATATCGGCCGAACCAATAATCTGTCCATCCCTACTTTGCATGCCTTTACTTTGCTGCATGTACCACAAGCAGGGCCTATGTTTTTTTAAATCCCCCATAGCAGTGGATGCGCCGAAAACTGTCTGGCTGACCACCTTGTGGCACCCAAGCAGGCGGTGGGCTTACCCACACAGCAGGTAACAACTCTGTCCAAATGTGCTGTGTCCGGAGGGGAGACAATGCGGACAGTGAGAAACTGCCAATGTGTTCTTCCAGCACTGCTCCCTTGCGTCCTATGGTGATTCTGGGTTATGACATCACTAAACAGGGCTCGAGGGAGCAGTGCTGGAGGGGCATGAAGATTACATAAGCACCACACTGGACCCCAGGGAAATTATCCACTAAAGCTCTCCCAGAGGTAGGGAGACTGGGTGGACAAATGAAAAATAGAATTTGAGAGTGTGTGTCAGTGAGTATACCTGCCAGTTTCAGCAATTTTAGACCTGCAGGGGTATTTTTCCATAAAAGGTTGCACAACACTTCTCAATGGCACAGTTAACTGGTAAGGATTAAAGAATACAAAATCATTTAGACAAAAGAAAAGGAGATCCCTGCTTGTAAGGCAGACTACCTATTATCCGTCTTAATGTCTGGGTGCAATCGGAGGCTGAATACATGAAGTACTGTATGAATGGATAGGTCTTTTGCAGTCAAAAATGTGTTTGTGTAATACAATTTAATGTATTTTACCTGCATTTTAACTGTAAAACAAGTAAAGAAAGTAAATGCCCTTTAATGAAATCATAGAGAACACAGTTTATTTTGATCTGGAATAAATGCTTGCAGAGAGACCTGTTATTAGATCCATTACTGGTTCCTTAATGGGAAAAAAACAAAAGAAAAACAAAAAACGTAAGAATACAGTCACAAAGTATTTGCAGCAAAGCTAAAGACTTTGCTGCATAAACTACTTACTGGCAAAATGTTAATATAAACAATGTTAAGCAAATGCTGATAACACAACAATGCTTTGAAATGAAACTGGAAAACCAAAATGTACAGACATATACATACAATATTTACATTTGCTATCGTGCACAACCAAAGGGGAATAAATATTTAAAAATGTGAAGTCTGTAATAAATTTAAAGGAAAATTACAAAAATCTTAAGACAGAGGTGATTTCATAGGACATAGAATCAGATATTTGTTTGGAAAGCAGTGTCATACTTTATTTAAAATAAAACCATGTAAAAACAACATTAAAATGAAGGGAAAAAAAATTCCTGAATTATTTTCTTAAATATAAAGCAAAATTAACTTAACACCAAATATACAAAAAAATGTTTAACCATATACAATATGGGAAACAAAGCCTTCTGTCCAACAGACTTCAATATAAACAAACTATACATCAGACACGATGAAAGGTATGCTTTAAGACAATTAAATTGACTGATCTGCTATGAAAGATGATAGAAAGATTTTGATAGGTCTTTTACTTATTGAAAACTATCCCCTTCACAAAGATGGGTGTAAGATGGTCAAAATGAGCGAGGTTGATATTCTTTGTACGAAATCTACATTGTCGTACTATAATTCTTGCATACCAGAAATCTTTACACTGGTATGGAAATAATATCCATATCTTATAAATGCAAATATTTTGCCATAATCCAAATAAATAAAACTTAAATAAGTATAAGTGGTAAAGTTGCTCATTTACATTAATGATGGATTCCATTAATGAAAAAGAAAATGCTAGGATACATTTCATATTTATCTTGATTTCTAACATTTCTGAATTAGAAATAAGTCCAAGGACAAAGCACTGCTTACATGGATCAAAGCAACAGATCAATGTAATGGTCAGGTCAATTAAAATAAATGAGAGGATGCGGGTTTTTTTTTTTTTTTTTTTTAAATCCCTCACAAAGGTAATAAATTAACAGCAAAATATGATTTCTAGAATCAAGAAAGTTGAGTAATAAATAACTGTATATAGCTGGAACACTCGTGTTAATACACTTTAGATCTGTTTAATATCATTGGAAAAATAAAATGGAGATCTGCATGAGAAAAATAAATAAATAGTACAAATTCAGTTACAAGAACAGAATGTTCTGCTGCATTTACTAGAGTGGCCACATATCTTAACGTGAAATAGGAACCCCTGTCTGTAAATGGTCCTAAATTTTGCAATCATTTAGTACTACTTGTATTGTGAAAGTACATAAACAGTAATAAAATGATAAAGGGAATGAAACGGATTAAGCACCCAATTAACACCCCCCCCCCCCTCCACCCACACACACCACAAATAGCTTACCAATAGGACAACAGGTCAGTAACTGTTCTGGATAAAAATCCTCATGGAAACTGATTTACTGTAATTATAAAAGCTTTAGTGTTAATTGTAATTGACCATGATGTGGACCAATGGTGAGCTTATACCAGTAATGAGACCAACACCTGTTCTCAGAGTTACCTGGCTTAACCCTTTAAGGACACATGACATGTGACATATCATGATTCCCTTTTATTCCAGAAGTTTGATCCTTAAGGGGTTAAAGAGGGGAGGGGAGGAAGAGACGAGTGGAGGGATATATAAGCACATCATGAAGTTCATCTGAGTTTCTTAGATGCAAAACCTTCATTTAAAATTCAACAAGGACTTTTTCAAACATTACATCTGCTCAATGCTTGATCTTGTTTGAATAATAGCCATCTAGACTTTTTATGCATGGCTATTTTCAGAAATTATTAAAAACTATATCTTGAAGTCACAGACTATCAGGGTAAAGCACAATTTTTCTCAAAATGAATAGGCAATAAAACACTAATATTTGTTCAGAACCGTTCTGGACACCAATATGTACCTGTTACCTGTAAAACTTCACACAGAGTAAAAACCTGAGGCTTTGTGAGCGGAGCATTTTAAAAGCACTTGCCATGCAAAAATACTGTGGGTACTACTTTATTAAGAACACTTTCATTTATATATTGATGTATATATTGTGTAAGCCAAATTTCTAACAAGGGCATGGTGAGGAGTAGGGGAAAAATAAAAAGTGAGTCAGTCCACACGAACCATGTCAGTGTACATTTATGTATGCTTTTTGCTAAACACAGAGGGAAGAAAAAAAGAAAAAATTAAAACAAAAAAAAAAAGGATAGATTCCACAGGTGGTAGTTAAACCCAGAACAAGGTTAAATCAACCTGTGGAATTTTTGAATAGTTTCAGATACTTCAGGTACTTTTTTGCTAAATCGCATCTTTTAATTTTACAGACAATTTGAATGACATTACAGTTCCAGTTGTTACTCGGGCTTCTGGACTTCTGTATCCAGCAGCTTGAGTAGATTTTTGTAGTTACAATTAAAGTATTGCACAATGCAGACTGTGTAAAACCACATGAAGGTGAAATTTTCATCCACACATTTTGTGGATGGCAAGTCCACTTTCATCCCAGGAATTTAAAAATATGGGCTTTAGTGGCTTCCGTCACTGCCCAGGAATAGTTCAGTCACACAGCATCACAGTTAAGTTACTGAAACAAATATCAGAAGTAAGAACATGTGTACATTTAAAGATCACTCGTGATCTGGTAGACCAACTTAAGCAAGATCCCTAGGTATGGCATTTGAAATTTTACCGTGGATGGACCTTGTTATAGTGAAGTGTTCAGAATTAAACCTAACACCAAGAATACAGTGGAATGTCAGTGTTTCACATAATTACATATTGTTTGAAGTACATTATAGTGTCACCTTAAACAGATAAACTGTAATGCGCACTTTTCCCCTCTCATGAACTGTCCAGGTTCATACAGCCAGTGAAACCCACAGAGCATGAGGTCTAGGTGTGATACACAACTAATAAAGACCTATCTATGAGAGAAAATTGTGAATATTTAACTATTACCTGAATTGTAAAAATTTTCAATGTTACTAGTCTATATTTGCAAGGATAACATTATGTTATATTTTATAAGAAGGCACCATACAAGTAACTCTTGCTTATTTTAAATAGAGCTTAAAGGACCACTCTAGGCACCCAGACCACTTAAGCTTAATGAAGTGGTCTGGGTGCCTGGTCCAGCTAGGGTTAACCCATTTTTTCATAAACATAGCAGTTTCAGAGAAACTAATATGTTTGTGAATGGGTTAAGCCTTCCCCTAGCCGCTAGAGGCGCTTGCGTGCTTCTCACTGTGATTTTCACAGTGAGAGCACGCCAGCGTCCATAGGAAAGCATTATGAATGCTTTCCTATGTGACCGGCTGAATGCGCGCGCAGCTCTTGCCGCGCGTGCGCATTCAGCCGACGGGGAGGAGAAGAGGAGGATCGGAGAGCAGCTTCCCGTCCAGCGCTGGAAAAAGGTAAGTTTTTACCACTTTCCCCTTTCCAGAGCCGGGCGGGAGGGGGACCCTGAGGGTGGGGGCACCCTCAGGGCACTATAGTGCCAGAAAAACGAGTATGTTTTCCTGGCATTATAGTGGTCCTTTAATGTAGAATTTTGTGACACTTTAAAGTAAGGGTCTCCAATCACCATAGGGCTACCAATTACAGATGAGAGTGCAGAACACAGCTAACCCTAGGTAAAAAGTCAACTGTTATAAAATCGGTTTAACTACTTACATGCCATTTTTGGAATCAATCATTACAGCGCACTGTAGTATTTATGGGGCTTTTGGAGTGTTTCTTTAAAAGAAAACTAATGTCTTGTTGCAAATGTAATCCTTGCACTGTGGGAGTAGTTCTCTTCAGACATCATTGACCAAAGGCAGCAAATGTTTTGGTCCAAAGGGGACTTAAAGAGATACTATAGTCACCAGAACACTACAGCTTATTGTATTTGTTCTGGTGTGTATAATCATTCCCATCAAGCAGGAAACTTTTTTTCAGAGAAAAGGCAGGGTTCACAATACAGCCCAGGGATAACTCCACCGGTCACTCCTCAGATGGAGGGTAGTGGTGCTTCCTGGGGCTGTTCTGCACAATGTGCAGCCCTTTCATTCAGTGTCTCCACCCTCTGCATGGAGACACTGAACTTTCCGCATAGAGATGCATTGAATAATGCATCTCTAGGAGGAGATGCTTATTGGCCTGGGCTTTGTTTGGCTTGTGCTGGCTCTGCCCCTGTAGCAATCTTAGCCACTCCAAGTATTGTGATTGGCTTTGATCAACACTTCTGATGCTGTCAGCCAACCAGGCAGTTCAGGGGCCGCGTCAGCACCAGCAGACTGGCATAAAGGTAATATTTTACTATATTTGGGTGGCTATAGGGGGAGAGGAGGAGAGGGGTTAGATGGTGGTTTTAACACTATAGGTTCGTGTTCCTGACCCTGTGGTGTTCCTTTAAAGAGGCTCCACCATATTTAAAAAAAAAAAAAAAAAAAACCCACAAGGAAAGCCTGAAAATGCACTTAAATGTGGCATTTACTTATATCTATGCAATCCTTCATCTAAAATTATAATAAAACAGTCTTTGCCTGCGTAGAACAAAAACACATTGTTCTGAATTTTAGTGGGCAAAGGTTTGGACTGAAGAATGTTATAAAATCTCAAAATGTCTTAATAAAAGTGTGGCAGCTTTATTCGGCCAAAATATGTGACAAATTGTATGCAATAAAGTACGGTGACCGTAAAGTCATTTGCAAACCATTGAACATCTTTATACAACATTACCACCAAATTATTTTAAACATTTTTGGGGTGGTTTAAAATAATCCATAAATATTTTACCTACCTGACATGCTAGCAGGCATCAAATGCCTAATCCTACAATTCCTTGATCAAATACAGACAAAATTAGAAGACAACCAGGAAATAGCGTTAAAATGTATGATGGAATGCCTTATAGATTTGTACATAGTGCTATACAGGAGGCTTTCAAAAGGAACACTAGAGGCACCCAGGCCACTTTATCTCAATGTTTACATTGCAGGGCAAAACACACCTCTAATGGCATTGCATTAGGATGTTGAGTGTCCTCTGATACTTCTCACAGAGAAGTAATGGATTCAGTGCTTCTCTATGAGAAATATTTGATTGCCACATATGTGCATTAAGTCTACAAAGCTTCTCTAGAAGCATTGGATTGGACAAACCCAATGACATCAGAGGAGGCGGGCCGGTCTGCAGAGAAGAGACTGTTTTAGTGCTGGATTCCATGTAAGTAATTGGTTCATTTACTTAACCTTTTACACTAAAAAGGGTGGCCCTGGAATTCAAAAAAGACCCTCTAATAATTTGGGACACTAAAAACCAATGCTATGGAGCACTATAAAGCATCTCTAAAAGTTTATTTGATTGGTGCAAAAGTAAAATTCACTTGGTTCCACATACTTTAATTTATATGTTGCATGCAAGCTACTGACAGGTACTGATTGTCTAAGTAGTTTAACATGCCCTGCAACCATTTTCCAATTTGTTGGAGGGTACACAAATGTAGAGAACTTTCGAGATGTCCTGCTTTGTTCTGTACAGTGGCGCATATGTAGGGTCTCTAAATTCATATTTTTTTTTAAATTCTGTTTTTTTCTTCTACTATTGATATGACATTTTAATTAAATACACAAGCAAGTGCAAACAAAACATTACAATAAAAACTTATTGCAAGTCCTCACCATCTCCAAATGAAAGTGCAGATTTGCTACTGACCAATATGATCAACAGCACTTAGAACACTGGTTCTGCATTGCACTTAAATTATACCCCTAAAAATTGCATTCAAATATATTTAAAATGTGTGCAACTGGATTTACATTATGGAACCGACAAGGACAAAACATTCTGCATTGTCATAGTTTGGCCCTTTAAGTGACCCAACCACCTACAGACAAGTTCACTTTCGTGTACATATACCTATAATCTACACATTTTGGATGCAATTATGCCAGCAAATGTATAGATTAAAACGTTAATGTGTGTGAATTTCACTTCCTCTTCACAAAGCAAGACAAAGCATAATTTACACGCACACCAAGGTGACAGGTCACAAAATGAGACTATTGGCATTCTAATTTCCTATCATGATGCAGAAAAGCCTAGATTAGGTTTAAAAAAAATAAAAAATTTATATATATAGTTTTTTTTTGTTTTTTTAACACACACACACACACACACACACAAGCAATTGCCAAGCATGAAACCAAGTTCTATAAAGTGACACCAGGACATGTTCATTACAACATTAATGCTTTGGGGTAGTTCTGGTTTTTTTTTTTTTAAACAAACTTCACCATTTAATAGTACCCCTATAGCACGGATCTGTAGGGCAGATGATGGAAGTGGGCACTATGTCCATCATGGCATGGATTGTCACTAGTCCTCAGAAGGGGCTCTCTGGGCACTTCAAGTACCTATGTTTTGTTACAGTTAAGCGCCCCAATCAAGGAACAGACCTGCATACTCTTTGTTCCATGAAAAAGATGTAAACTCTTGTATATTCAAAAACTATTCTAAGCAACAGAAGAATGCACACTTTTGGAGATTGTTTGGAATCATATCTTGGCAGCCTTAGTGTAGATGCAAATTATACAAAGCAACCAATTCTAGCCTGAAGAAACCTGATTTCCTAACAAACTAATTAAAGGAACACTTGAAATGAAACCTGCAATTCTTTGAAAAACACAATCAACTCACAAATACATTATCCATAATCCACTGATTAAATATTTGCAATGAATGGCATACAATGGAGTTAAAAACGGCTTGACCAAAACCAAGAGGTAGAATGCACTCCATGAATCTAATTTAGAGATGAACAAAGCACCATAGGTAAAGCAATGGATATTCAAATACATGAAACTCTTCTACTGGGTTCACTGAGAATCTGACATTACAGCACAAATGTTCAGGCAGTTCTGTGGAAACATTGCTCAGAATTAAGGCTATTTCCTTCACAGACCACAGGAGTTAAGACTTTTTTTTTTTTTAAAGACAGACTAATTTTAATGAACTATAATAAATTAGGCTTTTTAAGGTATTTTACATTCTACTCTCACATAGAGCACACAAAAACAGAACACCGTAAATAAAGTTTTGCTGTACTGATGAGGAACCGCACATTTACCATTCTCAGCTCAGAACACAGAAATGTATGGATCACATGCCACACCGTAACAGACTACAGTTAACAGGTCATGATAGATATAGGTTTACAGGTTTCTAACCATCTGGCTTGACTTGTGGTATACCGTTAAAGGGACACTAGTCACCAGAACCACTACAGCCTAATGTAGTCATTCTAGTGTCTATAGTATGTCTCTGCATGTTTTTAAAAGTAAATGCTGCCTTTTCACTCACACGGCCACTAGAGGTGCTTCCTGTTTAAGTACTTCACAGGCAGAGTCTCCATGCTCTACATGAAGATGCTGCTCTCACCCTTCTCTCCACTTCCCCTTGCAGGCATTGCTTTCCCTTAGAAAGAATTCAAGCAGGAGGTAGGCCAAGAGGAGGGTTTCCTTGATGACATACATACAGAGCACAGCCTTCTTATGTGCTGATCGACACTGACTGAAGAGGAAGATAGAGCTATTTTTCAACCTGTAATTTTAGAGAAATCTAGATTTTGCTAGCAATAATGCTACCAAAACATAGATGAAATTTGATTATCATTTAAGATTAAGTTGCATTTGTCATGACAAGTACTCTTTAAATTGGATTCTAGACAGGTTCTAGGAAGCTCACTTATGGTTGTGGTATTTAACTGGGTACTTGTAAAATGATTCGATCATGCTCCTTTCAGTAGACAATGTATGTGTGACTGCAACCAAACAGCAAGTAATTGGTCTCAAAAATTCTTAGTTGCATTACCTCATACTTTAAAAACTCATTTAGTAGCTGTCATTTGATAACTTTAAAATTAAATATAATTCAGGTTATAAAATTTGACATTGCATATAACTAAAGGAACACTTCAGTCTGAAAATAGCCCTCAATCCAGCCCCATGTAATGTATTACAGATGTGTGGTTCTTATGCTTTTCTGTTGGGCTCCCAAAATGATGTTCGCTTGCTAATACATTCATCAAATTGGAAAACTAGTATTAGTACATGTTAGTCTTTCATTTAACTGTAATATTACATTGACATGATATGCCAGGCAACATAATCACTAGAGCTCATTGTAGTGATTTTGGTACAAAGAGTACTTTAATGCACTCCCTCGTGTTTATGTAAGTTATACACCGATGTACACAAAAACTTCCTCAGGCACTCAAGCCTCACCATCTCTGTCCAAAATACTGTATCAGTAGGAGTAATCAGGAATTAGAGAAGGGCTAAAAAGGTAACCAATTTGGAGCAGCCAAACCATGCTCACTAATAATTTGGACACAAAATGAGGAAAGTGAAACTTCCTCATATGAAAACTGGAACTGCAGCAGTATGTAAATTAAAATCACATTTCCAAAAATATTACAGGCCCTAAAATGCAAATGAACTTCAAACAAGTACAAGGCAGACTACTGTAATGAACGCAAGCAGTGAAGTACTAGAAATAAAAATACTATGGTGGCATGTATGTATTTTTGGATTACTTCAGATATGCATACCAGATTTAAGTTTTAGTTGCACTAGTTATCTTGAGTGAAATCTGAAGACCCAACCAAATATATCTTACTTGTGACATCAATGGTTATGATTAACAGAAAAAAAAAAAAAAAAAGCTGTCAATTTTCAGGATTTGATAAAAGAATCTTTAATACTAATGCTGACTGTGTTGGTGAATTTCATTGAAATGCCACCCATAACACAACACAGGTAGGTACCACATTGTCTTGCAAAGCTTGAAGTTAACAAATTGACAAAAGGTGAAGCTTCGTCAACTTTTGTCCAATCCCAGCAGCTGGCACAAATAACACCTGTGGGATTCAAGCATGGTCTTGCACAGAGAGCAGCTCCTGGCCATAAACACTGTCTGTACAGTTAAAACAGTATCGATGACCACAAATTACAATATAAGCATCTGTTTCAAGCTAGAAACACGTTTTGGATACAGGCTTTCCTTTTTCATTTTGTGTAGGTTTCCATTTGCAAGTCAGTTTTTTTTTCAGCAGCAGACCCTCCCACCTCCTGGACAGCTCACTAAGAATGCAGCTTCACAATGAATGTAAAATGGATGCTGTCAAGGAGGTGGGAGAGTCTGCTGCTGATTGGCTGTAATGTGTATGCTGACTGAGGTACAGGGTCAAAGTTTACTCAATGATGACATGGGGGCGGACCGAACAGCGAATATGTTCGCCGTCCGCGGCGAACCGTGCGGGACATCACTAATCACAAGGAATATATAAATATGAATTTGACATTCTTTAGAGATGGCAAGAGCTCATACCATCCAAAAAAGCTTGCCTCTTACCCGAGAGATGGTGCCAATAGACTACTGGTACCAAAACTACTGAAGTCCTCTGAATTGCTCATGATACTTCTATCGCTCTTTCATTTGCCACACATCCAATACATTTAAATGCTTAAAGCAGGCAGGCATAAGACAAAGTAACATCCTACTTTGTCTCGGTTTCTTTTTTGACCGGGTTGGATATTCAGTGAAATTAATAGTCAGTATGAGTATTTCATAAAAATTGTATCTTTATGAAATACTAATTTTTGCAAGGGAGACAGAGTGCAGATTTGAACACTTCAAGCACCATAATCATTACAGTGCATGGTTCAGAATTCCTTGGCGCTTTCCCAATGTAATTCTTCTTACCCAGGATCCACTAGGTGCCATTCCCTGACCTGCTACAACCATAAGCTTTCTGCGAAGCCAGGTGGAGCACGGCATAACTCAATGGCAGTGATCGACTTATGCTCTCAGCCAAAGAGATGGCCATGAACTGGGTTCTTGGCTCAGGAGTGTTAATGGAAACTCCCAACACGAACTTCCTGCCCTCAGGAGCAGAACAGGTAAGGCAGGAAGTGGTGCATGGTGGACCCTCAGGTATGAAGTCAAACCAAATAGCAAACAGTCCAACTTACATGGCTTTAGGGTTCAGGTGTTTTGAATGTCAATTTAAATAGCTTAAAGATTTTTAGACTTTTTAGAATTGAAACATATTGGTAACAATCCATTGTTTCGCTAAAGACCCTTTCCACAATTTTATTTTGTTCTAGGTAAATACATGCATGTACAATCATCTCATAGCTAAAATTATTGAATCCTAATGCATTACACTCCCACAGACCAGCAGAGGTCCAGTCTTGGAGACATCTTTAGGACAAAATACCAGTCAGTACTATTCATTAACATTTGCACTGAAAAGGATCACAAGTGCCTCGGTCCTCAAATGCATGAATGGGATCAGGATTGTGGCAGATCCTCGACAGTACACCACCTATGATTATGTTAGTTGCTGAATTCTAAGGGTTTCCAAAAATATCACAAACATTAAAGGATCACTATAGTGTCAGGAAAACAAAGCTGGGTCCCCCTTCCGTGGCACTGAAGGGGTTAGAACGCTGGGCTCCCTCTGTGCTGGTGACCTCTCCTGCCCCGCCGACGTCAACTCCCAAGTGGAGCGGAATGCGCATGCAAACTGTCGCATCCAGCGTCGCAAATGCGCCTCTAGCGGCTGTCAGGAAGACAGCCACTAGAGGTTGGATTATGGGAAGGGTTAAAAACTGAGGGACCTGGCACCCAGACCACTTCATTGAGCTGAAGAGGTCTGGGTGACTATAGTGTCCCTTTAAAGTGGATTTAAAGCCTGCCAATATGATCAATGTTTATACATTTGACAGTATTACAAAGTCTGAATGCTTAATGCAACAAATAAAATTCTCTCTAGAGTTTAGACCATTTCTGAAGCAATTCATTTCTATGGGGAAAAATATGACATAGTTGGCTTAGAGAGTGCTGCAAGCATGCTGGTGTGCCAAGGTGAAATGGTTTTAAATTACATTTCTGTAGAATTAAAAAAGTTTAAAAAGCAGGTTTAGCTCTGCCATTGACAAACAAATGTCAAATCATCCTTTTTGGGGACTATGGATGCCTTTATTTTCAAGCCCACTTGATTTGTACACACAAATTGCCATGTACAGATCATATTAACATAATTAAACCACTTCATCTATAAGAGATTCCAATTTAACCCCTTATGTACCAACAGCATTTTTGCAGACAGAATATATAGGATGCCCTATACAAACATTTTGCATATATACCATTAGCAATTATTTACAGTCTCTGCTCTAGGAGACATTTCAAAATGGTATCTGATCATTAAAAGACGAGATTGTTAGATCTGTATTAGATTGGTCCTTACACGTTAGAACCAAGGGAATCACTACCCCAATCCTTCAGTCAAGTGTATAACCATACTGAGATTTTGCAACATATTCATTGACATTGTACCTAAATAATTTCTAACCTCTATAATGAACATTTCCACACCTGAAGTGGAGATGACAATATCAAATCAAAGTGTTAACAGGCATTAGAAACTCATTAAGTGTGGCAAAAATAAAGGAATTTACAGCATATCAATAGCAACGTTAGTTGCCACAGTAGATAGGCCTTTGCAGATGTACCTCTATGCAAGTTAAATTAAAATGCAGTGTTTTATAAGTACATGCAATAAGCCTTTGAGCTGTTGTAACGTTTTCAGGAAACATTTAGGAAAACAGAAGTTTTAGGTTACTAGCTTAAAATTAGGAAGCTTAAAATAAAGGACTGTAGTTCCTATGGATGAACTAAGTTACTTGAAGCAGAAATGTTAACCTAAAGTGTTGAATGATCCCCATGTGCTATATCTGTTTGCAGGCATAGATATCAAAACAAAAGAACAAAATAATAAACGAAAACAAAAAGTTGAGCAAAACAAAAATCAAATTTAATGGTCTTAAATGCAAAATAAACAAAATGAAAACACAAAAAAGCAAAAGAAATCAAGAGGAACAAAACTGAAAAGTTCAAGGCATTCTGTAGAAACTTGTAAGGGCCGTTAGTTTTACTTTAACTATAATCAGATATTTTGTTAATATTTAACTTGAAAACTGTTGAAAGTTCCTTAAAAGAAACAAATAAATGAAACAAAAAAAAGTAAAAATAAATCCCTAGGTCACAAAAAGGGATGCGAAAAAAAGCACAATGCTCAAATGTTTATACAGGTTATAATCCCTATCATTTTAAACTATGCTTAATGTTATTTGAAAAACAATACATAGTTCAGTAAGTGTATGTACCACTACAGAGTGCACCACGTACACAGACAAAAGGGAAAAAAATAACTATGTTAAGAATAGAAACATGGAACAGGTTTCTGGGAGTCCTTACTTTAACTATGGAATTGTCTGAGTTTCCATGGAACTCTTTGGTCCATTCCGATCATATGGATTGATGGGAATAAAATATTAAAACTTTAAGTTTGAAAATGTAACTTGCAGGAAAAGTGGCTTTTAAACAGGAAGAGACTTCCCATTTAGGACCAAACTGAATAAATGACAGCAATATTACATCTGTTCAGATAAGGTGGTTTTGGGCAACTGATTTTGGATTGCAATATTGATACTGCTCAATAGGTGAGAATCTGGACTGGGAAGGAAGCTGGCATTCCTTGTCAACCTGCAAGAAAGAGCATCATTCACACCATTTGGGATGTCACAATAGGACCCGGATAGAAAAGTATGGTGTCATGAGCCCATAAACTCTAAAATGCTTGATCTCATTTCACGTAATGCCAATTTACACTTCCCAAAGTTAGAGGGAAAAATATATATATATATTACATACACTTACGCCATTTTCATTTTTAATCACAAAAAATGGCTACTTATATAATGTTGGAAGTTATCACAGTCATTAATCAAATGTCCTACATGGGACTGCACATATAATAGACACATGCTGTTGCTGCTACAGATCTCCACTATGAGAAGCCTGACAAGTCTGCTGTTAACTATGCAATTGAAACTGCAGACAAATACTAATCTCTGTAACTCTACAGGCTTTTAAAGTCTGAGATGGGGAAAAAAAATACAAAAGTTAAGCTGCATACTTTACAGCTTCATTAAAAAAGTTAATTCCAGCGTCTGGAATATATAACAACCCACAGAGCAAACTTTTTGAAAGTCTTCAAGATTAATGCATGCTTAAACTTATCACCATCCGTAGGGTATTTTATGCAATCTATCCATATTTTATTCAAATAATTAATGTAAATAACTTAATGAACTTAAAATTGGTCTAACATGGTGGGATCTCTCAAACATTTGAACATGTAAGTTGCATCCCCAGAGTATAAAAAATCCTTTTCCACTTTTCATTTAGACTAAGACAAAAAACACACTTGTGAAAATTGGCGCAAAATGAGTATTACACTAACCAAAAAAAAAAAAAAAAGGAGAAAAAAAAATAAAGAGTTTTCCCCCAACTTTGTCAATCTTAATTTCTCTATTTCATACAAAATTTTAAGAGCAAGTTATTTGTGGGACTTGCTGGTTTTGAAGGAAACTTGTAAGGTTTTGTCCCCTAGACGGTAGCCATTAAGACTTGCAATGGCCATGGCAGCTTCTTCATAGTTTGTCATCGTCACAAAACCAAAACCTTTGCACTTGTTGGTGTTAAAATCACGGATAACCTTCACATTAGTGACAGCTCCAAAAGGCCCAAACATCTGCCAAAGGATTCCTTCATCTGCATCCTGGCCAAGGTTATATATGAAGATGCACCATCCAGATGAAGCACTGCTTGCAACATTTACACCAGATATACTGCTCATGTGATCAACTCCCATTGGGGAAAACCTGTTTCAAAGAAAAGGTATTTGTAAACAAATTTCACAGACTGCACATCTATTTTCAGTTCCCTGTAACTTTTGTACCATCATGTCGAGGAGTGCTTGATACCAGATATGAATTATGGAGATACAGCTTGCAGACCAGGATAGGTAAAGCAAACCATTACATAACAAATTGCACATGCCCATAAATAAGTGTAAACCAAAGGGAATTAAAGAAACCACCAGTTTAAAAGTTCTTCTGACAATTAGCTTTTGGACATTAGAGAAAGTTGCTTAGGGATTTTCAAGTGCTGATTAGAGCTTTTATGAAAGGAAATATAAACTGGGAAATGGTTATGGTCCAAGATTGAACTCACCTGAATCTTTGGGCCTGGTGGTGAACTGGGCCACCAAAACGCCGAGCAGGAGAGTGGCACAACTGGGAGAGGAGGGCCATGTTTTTATTCTGATTAGGATTGGCAGCAAATTTCACGGTGATGGGTTCTGATGAACCTGGAGGTTTGTGGCCATTGAAACTTGCTATAGCCTCTTCTGCTTCAGATCGCTTATCAAACCGTATAAAAGCAACTCCTCGTGATAACCCTTTGGGAGAGGCAAAAAAAAACAAAAAACTTTTTATATAGTATTTTAAACTAAATTACAATCCTTTATAAACACACACCCCCATACAGTGATATGAAAACGAAAGGGGCAATATTTTGGTTAATATATCCTAAACCCCTAAAATCTACCTGGCTGCTATTCTAACCAGCTCTCTGTACAATGCATCATTAGCAGTTAATATTACAATACAATTTCAACGTGAACACCTTATTGAACACTTTCAGATCCTCGCAATGCAATTATAGGTAAACTTACTTTGTTAAATGCATACTGCTACTACCACCACCACCTATATTTGTGACACTTGGAAAAGCTACATCCAGAGTGTTTTACTTTAAACTTTGAGGACTTTACTCACCAAAACACAGAACTGTAGTGAACCAGAAAGGCAACAAGTTTAAATAACCATTATGATTATTATATATGGAGCTATAGTCACAGCATGGCTAGTTCATGCCAAATTGTGTGTTTTGTTTTTCAACTCTAGCATTCAGTGCACAAGGAATAAAGCCTACAAAAGGGAACAAAATAAATAGCTGCACACTCAAGTATAAATACTAAGAGTTATGACATCCATGAGCCAACTGTATACTGTTTTTCCTCAACAAATAATTCAGTTGAGGAAATTCAAAAATGGCAAAGTATTAAAGATTAATAAATCTATAAACATTCAAAATACAACACGCTACAACTATGCAGGGCAACCAGTGAAAGTCAAGTCTGATAGTCACAATGTTTAAAGCCCAGCAAACTCAAAGCAAGTGTTTATGTCGTAGTTCAGAATTTTTTTTTTTTAAGTGATCTTTCCCTTGCCTCATCTAAGGCTAGAACTAGATAATATTAAACAGAGGTCACTAGAGTCAACACCATGGGCTCTTGAATACAGGTTTGCTACATATGAACGTACTGAATAGCTAGACAGAAGATATTGCATAAAAAAAATATTTCCAGTATTGGCACAGGATTAAAGGTAAGAGAATATAACAATATTGACAAAAAAAAAAAAAAAATGTAAAATGCATCTTAAGTACAATTTGAAGAATATTTATGACTACCTGTGGCCTGATCAACAAGGACACGTGAATTGATAATACGTCCAAATCCTGAAAACATGTCTTCCACATCCTTTTGCGTCATTGTCCTTGGGAGTCCACTGATGTACAAGTTTGCATCCTTTATGTTTTCGGAACTTGGACGAGCAAATGATACCTAAACAAAAAAAAACATAAGTAAAAACCCAAGGGAATGCATTCATGAATTTTTATTTTACACATATTGAGCAGTTTCACCTAGAGATATCAATCCTTTCTAAACAGCAAATTATATTCACCAAGCTGGTTGAAAGTAGAAAAAAAAAAAAACACAACCTAAAGACAGACGTTCACTTAAGTTCTCAGTTTCATCATGTTTCCTTTGAGTAAACAGATTGGCATGTGATTTAAAAGACCAACAACTAAGTTGCACAGTAGTGACTATATCTTATTTATTCCTACAACATCAAAGAGCAAGAGGTCCAGACTTGAATAAACCAAGTATAGATAAAACATGTTCCAATGTTTTCTTTGACTAGATTTGAAACCCGTTTTCTCAGGTTTAAAACACCCATTGCAGTTGCCAACATTTTTTTCTACAGCAAAATAACTGTACCACATTCTTATGGAGTAGAAGACACAGCATTAGCACAGAAACTAGATAAGGACACATTTTGGAGGTGGGCTTGGCACAATATGAACAAAGGGTTTCACTAACCAGACATTTTAAGGCAAGTCTATCTAGCAGTAGCCATGAAAGTTGTGTGTGTCCTAATTTCCATGTATTTTAGGATGTCAGCATTATTACTATTATGTAATGCATGTTCTTGTTGTGCGCCCCATCTCTTAGATATAGATTACACTTAGGACAACAATGAGCTAATGATACAAAATATCAGTAAAGAGGGCTATGCAGTTATATTTCTTGCCTACAGTTAATATTGCTGTATCACACCCATTATACAAGAGAGATTTACCTTTATAGTTTTTGATTGCAGTCTCAGTCCATTTAGTGTGTTTATTGCTCTTTCAGCATCTTTTGCATTTAGATAGTTTACAAAACCATATCCTAAGCTGTGTCCTGTGAAGGAAAGCATACGTTTATGAGTGGGGGTTAAGTATTTGCAGTAACCTGAAAAAAAAAGTCTTGAGATTTTAAGTTTTGATAAAGAACATGATTTGCTCCATGCAGAAAAGTCAAACATATTGCATGCTAGTGGCCCATCAATGCAGTGAGCAGATATTTGTCAATTCATATCAAGCAGTGGTTCCAAAACCAGACCTCACACCCACCCTACCAGTGCAGGATTCAGTGATTACCTAGTTGTGTCTTTTTCCCTGTAAACAAAAAAAAAAAAAAAAAAACAACACACACCACCTTTGACTCAAATGGGTAATCCCTAAATCATGGACTGGTAATTAGGGGGGAGGTTTGGGAACCACTGATCTAAAGAATTGATTACACACACCCCATTGTGTCTGCATCATAAATCAGTCAGCATGTGGAGTACCAAGGAAATAATCAAGTTAGAACTTTTATTTTATTTTTTTAATAAACTGACATTTGAGTAATATGGTTTTCCATATAAGTTCGAACAGTACCGTAATTTGGCATATAGTGCTAACATTTTTCCACATAAACATTATGAAGTACCATGCATTATGGGGAAAAAAGTTCTCCCAGCACACAAAATAGGGTTCCTCAATCATCATTTACAACAGAATTTTTACTTCACTTACACATTATCCAGGTAAACCTGGCAGATATGATAGGCTTGGATTGCCTGGCAACTCTTCATCCAAAATTCACAGCTTACCACTGTTAACTAGTCATATGGTTTGGAAAACACATTCATTGTGTAAAAAATTAAACAGAGCAAAATAAATTTCAGCTCATGCGTATGGCAAGGTCCCCCAACACTGACACTTATGCAATTGATTTTACTTCACTATTGAAATACATTCCAAATTATTAAACATGATTATTCAGTAGTATATTGTCAAAGGCAATATAGAGGTTAAGACAAACCCTTAGGTTCTTACTTTCACATTTTTCTTTCTTGTCAAAATATGTTGAAAGTATAAGCTTAATTGAACACATGGTAAATAAGATTACAAAGTAAACCGTGAGAAAATATTCAATAAATACAAGACACCAATGAAGAGCTAATGCTTACAGTTCACACTAGGCAAAACGCAAATACATAAAAACACAAGATGAAAAAATGGAAGATAAAAAGGTCAACTCACCTATCTGCTTACCTGCAACTTTATCACGTATAAGTTTTGCAGATTCAACCTCACCAATACTACTGAAGAGGCTGCGTAACTCATCCTGTGTCATGTTTTGAGGAAGATAATTCACAATCAAGTTGGTTCTGCCAATGTCATCCCTGCACACATCATCCATGTGATCTTCATAACCGTTAGACATGTTTTATTATTTTAATACCTATTGAGCAAATGTCAAAAAGAAAACCACTACTTTAAAATGCATGTTTAAAACTTCCAATTAAAGCCGTAAAAAGTTACATCATATGTAAATCTCTGTAAGCATATATACATAATATTTTAAATCTTAAATTGTATTACAATGAAAACAATCACGATCAGCATTGTTTGCATTACAATAAAGGCACCTGGTTAAGAAAATGTGTCAATGTTGGAAAGACAAAAAAAAAAAATCTACTTGACCAGAGTAGGAGTTCTCCTACAGCAGAGACTGCTGTATATAGAAATGTTTGCAAGAATGATTGGCTACACATGTGCATGCTGTTGACTAGTTCTGAGTGTGAAGATTAGGGATGCAATTGAGAGTAGTTTAAATTGACACTGTAGACACTACAACCATTTAACCTCCTTGAAAATATTTATACTCCTTGAACTAGTTGAAATAGTTATAGTACCTGACATCCCCTGGCACTGCACTCAATTCAGTGTTAAACCCAAGAATAAGGAAGCATAACCTTGGAGGGCACATCAAGAGAAGCTGGTCACTTGACATGGCACCAAATATTGCCCATAGAGATGCATTGGTATAAGGATAAGCTAAAGTCAGGAATTTGTTTTTGAAGGCTCATAGTTGGTCATGAGTTTTTAGCTATTGTTTGAGTCTTAATTTTTCGTTTTATTGCTTTTCTATGATTATCTCAGTATTTATGGTTCAAGCAACTCGTATATTGTTTGCCACAATCAGAGTTAAGAGTATCTATGAATCTCAGTGTTGCATTAATCTACGCTGCCTTTTCCTTCCTCTACATCACTGAGGGACTGGCTGGTTCTCACAGCAGTGACTGACCTCTCATTCATTTGAAGTAGAGAACACATATGCATGCTCACTATTTTCTAATACAAACACATGCAAAGGTACCAATGTTGCCCATCAGCTTATTTTAAGAGAAAGTTCATGCCATGGTAGTATCGCACACGTGCAAGAATCTACATAAACTAGAGCTGTAACGAAGCCACTTAATTACCACAGTAATCTTGAACCACAAATGTAAAGGTGTTCCAATATAAGCAAACATTGGCTGCCTATTTTGCATAATTTAGCAGTAAGTGTGGCAAGAGAACAATTTATCATGGACAACACTCCTTGTTTCTTTATTATGCTGAAAGTTTGAATTCTTACACTACTACTTAGGAGGTTTCCAATGGAGAGTAATGTTTGTGACCAACACAGGAACTTACACAGCATCCAATAATTCCCAACATGTGGGTTCAACTATATATTAAAGGGATTCCATAGTGTAAGGAATACAAAGTAGTATTCCTTACACTATTTTATCCTCTGGTCCCTCCCCTCAGGATGTAAAGAGTTAAAACCCCTTTTTTTACTCACCCAATTGATGCAAGAGCATTAGGTGCCCGCATAGGAAAGCACTGTTTCAGTGCATTCCTATAGGAATTTCTCTGAAGCTGGATGTCCTCACGCAGAGCGTTATGACATCCAGGATCAGTGACCACTTCAATGAGCTGAAGTTGTCTGGGTGACTATAGTGTCCCTTTAAAGAAGTGTCATATCAGACATTTTACTGGTTACGCAGAATAATTTTAAAAAGTCTTCATTGAATAATTGAAATATAAATACTTTTAAAGTAAAATACTAATATAAGGCCTCAACAAATCCCAAGTGTCAAGTCGCCATGATGACTAGGGCACCTGGGTATGTTAGCCCATTCCCTTTGAGGTGGACGGTTGGCTGAGGGAAAATAGAGGTGGGTAGGCAGCTGTAAAGAATAAAGGCAGCAAGGGAGCTGTAATCTTCCTGCTCTGCAGTGATTCCATGAGCTGGAATATGACTTCACTCCGTCCCCTGCATCACTGAATGGCGCACATAGAGTTTGAAGATGCTTGCAGCCCAACTGGACTCCAGGAAAAGATTATCCAATCCAGCTGTTCCAAAGGTAGGGAGGCTGGATGCATGTAAATTGAATAAAACTAATAAATTGTGGGTATGAGACACTCACTTTGTTTAGGTGACTGCCATCATTATTCCTATGATCAGGCAGAATTTTGGCATTGAGGATATTTTAATCCACAGCCATCTACTCCATCAAATGTATATCACAATCTGTCAGCTAAAAAAACAAAAACAAATAGATATATACCTAACTTGACCATAGCTTTATGAAAACCTAGCAATGGCATTTATTGGGGTACTGTGGTAGTCAAACGGAGGATACCAAACTTTCTTACTACAGCAGGACACATCAAGCATACAATGTAAATACTAAAAAGAACACGTGCAAAAAAAAAAAAAGTGGAATACAAAAAAGTTTAAACATAACCACTATCTTTGTGATAAAATACTAATAGAAGGCCCAACGTATCCTATATAAAATACCCAGCACTGTTAACTTATTGCATATGCATACTTTTTGCCTATTATAGTCAGTATAATAAATGTTACTATGCATATTAACTTCAAGGTTTAGAACAGTTAAGTGCACACAAAAAAAATCAAAAAAAAAAATCAACCTAATCAAGTATTTCCAAAATCTGGGTGAACACATAGAATTATCTTGGCCCTCAAATAGCTGAGAATTACAAAAAGCAACCACAAGCACACTGGGAATAAGGAAGTTATGTATATAATGAAAGATAGGGACAAAGTGGGAACAATAAGTATAGAGATCACATTGTTTCCCTGATGTCTACTCCAATTACAGAATATTTCCCCAAATTAATTTTTTTTTTTTACACTAACAGTATTCACTTGGATGCAACACTGAAAAACAATATTATCAAGACAAGTCAGGTGTTCTTGTGAGTGCAAAGTGCTATAAATGGACACTTTCTATTTTACACAGCGATTTATTCTTATTTTGCATTTAACCCCCCTACCCCCCATTGCCCCTAGCCTTACTAGATACAGACACAGTAAACATTACTGTGAGATAACACACAAACGAATGAGACAATATCGAGTGGAGGGAAGGATGGCTTAGCAATGCATGCAGCAGACATGCGAGTTGATGTTTTGCTGTATATTAGTTATCGCCCGGACCTGACATGGTTACACCGTACTATAATCTTTCATAAGGAATACCATGTGATTGCCGTTAGGACCAAAACACAGTGAGACCTCAAATTATCAGCAACTATAGTAAACAGTGCCCTAATACCGACCCACAGAGCCCCCCCCCACCCAAAGCCGCCCTTCCCCGGCGGCACCGACTACACAGAGCCCCAAAGTCGCCTTCCCGCGTCACCGACCGACAGAGCCCCCAAATACCGACCGACAGAGCCCAAATACCGACCCAGAGCCCCCCCAAAGCCGCCCTTCCCCGCACGGCACCGACACACAGGGTAAAGTCGCCCTTCCCCGCACGTCGCCGACCGACAGAGCCCCCAAATTACCGACCGACAGGCCACCCCAATACCGACCGACCTCGCCCTTCCCCGCACGTCACCGACCGACAGGCCCCCCAGAAACCTTGACAGAGACCCCCAAATACCGACCGACAGGGCCCCCAAATACCGACCGACAGGGACCGACAGAGCCCAAATACCGACAGAGCCCCCACCGACCCACAGAGCCCCCCTAATACCGGCCTAACACGGTTTCCCGCGCTCCCTGCACCCCGGCCAGTATCGCCGATAACCTGCAAGGCGGGAATTCCGTTACTGTTTGTAGATGGAGCGAGGAATCACCGCTATACCCGCAGCCCGGGCCGCTATCACAGCGGGAGGAAGGCAGGCATGGTACCGGGAGTACAGCGGGGCTCAGGCGATACCGGCCGGGAAGAAAAACCAAACCCCCTCCGACACTCACTCACTCACTCACATTCTCTCTCTCACACAAAGGGAGTGCGGCGCACGAGGCTAGGCCGGAGCCCAGCCGCCCGCACGGTGTGTGGGGGAGGGAGCGGCCGCACCATCCGCGGTGTAACACGGTGCCGGCCGGTATCCCCCTCCGAGGAGGCCGCTGTGAGGGCCGAGGCGGGCAGCCCGCAGGAGCCGAGGACTCGGGCCGCGCTTCAGGCCTAGTACGAGCAGCCCCGCTCCGGCACTGCTAACAGGCGGCCCCGGGGGGAGCAGAGGCCGATATAGCTGCGAGCGCTAGTCTTACCCTGGGAGCTTCCCGCTCTGGTTCAGAAGGATGAGCGGCTCTGTACGTGGCCCGGTTCGGACGTTCCCAGCACAGAGAGCGAAATCCGGCGTCACACGGGCGAAAAAAAAAAAAAAGGAAAAAAAAAAAAAAGAAAGGAGACCAATATGGCCGAGTCCAGACGCGCACGCGCAGTGCCAGCCTCAATCCCCGCCCACCCCGAACTCTGATTGGACGGAGTCCTCCCAGCGAGGATTCTCATTGGTCTCAATCTTTGCGTTTCACTAAGCTCCAGAGGTGTGACGCCACTTCCGGTCTGTGCGATAAGATGGTGGGCAGAGAGAGCGGGAGAATGGCGGCATTGTCATTTCAATGGCTGCATGTGTACAATATGCAGATTAGAGGGACGAGCCGCATAATAAACACAATGTTCGATACAACATGGCTCCAAATCTTTTATATATATATATTATTTTTTATTTTGTTGTTGAAAGCTTCAAATTCCTAGTGTGTTCTTTACAATATCCAGTTTAATGAATAACCCTGCCTGGCTGGAGGGAGATAGGGGGAAACATGAAAATTATGACTCTACCTGTTTGAGGATTTATGTACTTTTATTCCTCACACGATTGGTTTAACAGAACTGTTATATATATATATATATATATATATATATATATATATAATTATGTTTTACCTTAAACGAGATTCATTGAAAAATGTTTAAACAAATTATGCTTTTACTAAGCTACTTTGCATACAGAATTGGATAAGTAAATAATGTGTATATTTATGAAATGCATGTTTAGAAGGATACAAAATGAAGCCTCACACAACTCTGGGACGGCAGCAATGACTATAGTATACATTAGCTCCAATACATACAATAGAAACCAAAGAAAAGAGTTACTTGCACACTATCCCAATGCACATTTAAATAATTGATATTTTGTATGTTTGTAAAGCCTTATATTATGTCTACCACTTGCCTACTGAATAACCCTGAAAGTCATGCCTTCAGGGACAAGTCTAGATTACACATTACAGTATACAGGCATACCCCGCTTTACATACACTCACTTTAAGTACACTCGCGAGTACAGACAAACCCGCGAGTGTACGTAAAGGTGCCTTGCGAGTACAGACATTCCAGCGCCTCTTCTGTCCGCAAGTGAACAGGAAATGGAATGTTCTATTCTCGCCGGGAGCAGCTCAGTTCAGTAGCTTTGGGGCAAGAAACTTTCACACCTTCTGACATGGCACAGGTTAATCATCTCAAATTTATAATATCTACTCCTAGCTGAACATATATATTTTTTTTCTGCCCCTACATTGTCCATATTCTGCAATCTGCCCCATCCAGGGAAAGGAGGAGGTGTTTCTAAACAAAGTGTGCAACTAAGCTGCTGACTAATACAAATTGGCACTGTATTGACAGAAAATGGCCCAGTGGGCAGGTTTATTTTACTTTTCCTCCCAGTTTAAGGTTGTCACTTGAGTAAAACATTAAAGATAAATGGTACAATCTGGAATTAGATTTTTCTTTTTACTGTTTGTTTTAACTGAATAAAAGCCCACTGGAAATCACTAAATAAATCACTGGAAATAAAATCACTGGAAATCTGCAGTTGCAGTGTCAGTTATGCCTGTAAATTACTATTGCAATGCAGTACATGCAATGGGAAGTGAAAAAAGGTATTGCTTCACTTTAAAGTACATTTTTGTTTTACATACATGCTCTGGTCTATATTTTTTTTATATTATTATTATTATTGCCATTTATATAGCGCCAACAGATTACGTAGCGCTTTACAACATTATGAGAGGGGTGATTTAACTATAAATAGGACAATTACAAGAACGATAGGTTGAAGAGGAACCCTGCTCAAACGAGCTTACAGTCTATAGGGTAAATCAGTATGCTAAACTGGAGCTTGCTTGGGCACACAACCCTGTTTCATTCCGAACTTTTAAGAATGTTCCTGTGTATGCCAAGTATGTTGCAATGTCTGAGAAACTGGGAAGAAATTGATATTGAATGAGGCCATGTAAAGCAGTTCACAAATACATTAATTGACCTTTAGACTCCTCATTCGGTAGGTGGTGGTGGACATGCAATATATGGATTAGTACAGCTTAATGTGGTTATTCTACATAACCTTTAAACCCCCAATGCATAGCATTGGTTTGGTATACTACAGTTCTCGAGTTATCAATTAAAGGACCAGAAGTCACATTGGAAGCTTAGTATCTATGAGAATATGTGTATTTACAATGTCTTACTTCATTATCTTCTTAATGCATCACAAAGTATTGTCTCCAGCTTTGATTGTCATTCTAATATAGCAGACAAAAGATTTTTCTAACAAGTCTTCATATACACTTGAAAAACATCATTGTAATAAAAAAAGGCAAAGCGAATGAGAAAAAAAATCATCCAAATTTGCATTTTCCCTTCAGGGAAATTAGGGATTGCTCAAAATAAACTTAAATTCCATGCACCATTCGTCAACTTGGACATATATAAAGGATTGAAATATAGATCTAACGCACAGCAATTTAGAGGGCAGTTTTGTGAATTCCGGTTCACCAAGGGCTCAATAAACAGTAAATTGTGGTCTGTTGAAAAAATAAATTGCTAAATTTGAGCTAAGATAGTGAAGCTCTGTTTAGAACTGAGTTGAAGAGCATTTCCAAATCAGGTATTCTTGATAAAAAAAATTGCACTTTAGTTTGTTTTTTTTATTGTTTTATTTACCGATATTCACCATTTACTGAATAACTGCACAATGTTTTTGACAAAACCCTTAACTCAAAAACCAAAACAGCATGAGATACTAGTGGGTAAATAAAGGAACACCAGTGTCAGAAACATAAACATATATTCCTGACACTATAGTGTTAAAATAACTATTTAGGTACCATTTCTGTGCTCCTTCACTTTTTCCCCGAGCCGGTCGTGATGATCTCAGCCAATTCAAAGCATTCCCACAGGAGAGTATTGGTAGGCTATTGAGCACACGCAGCAAAATGCTGTGTTGAGCAAATTAGCGTCTCCTCATAGAGAGGCATTAAATCAGTGCATAGCTATGCGGAGAGTGGAGACGCTGAATACCAGATTGGTTAGCACCTCTAGTGGCCACTAGTGATTGCCATTAGAGGTGTTAAAAATTGAAAGCGGCAGTTTCAATTTGCACCCAATATCCACAAAGAGTGAGATTCTTATCCTTTAGTTGTGGGCACAGAGGTTTAAATAAACAAATGTATGGCTAGTAGATGTAAACAAGGGGGGAAATGCTTGTCAGATCAGCTCCCCAATTTCTGCACCCTGTGTGTAATGGGTTGAATATCAATAATGACAAAAAGGCTGCAGAACCGAGGTACGAGTGAAAAGTATATTATCAGTGTACACTCATACCGCTTTGATACAATAAATTAATTGTCAGACCTCCAATGAAAAAAAAATAAAAAAAATATGAAATTTACTGTGCAAATAATTTAGTTACTTGTTTGAAGAAACAATATTTAAATTTTCATGTGTTTCTTTTGGCACAATGTTAAATACAGATTAGTAGAATATCAGGAAATAATGTAATTCAGATTAATATATATTCAAGTGAAAACTCCCACCTCATAACTAGCTCAATTAAGTTAAGAGGGCTCCAGTGGCACAGAACTACTGTAGAGAGGGCCCAGATGCAAGAATTTTTTGGGGGCCCTCTCTAATGCAAGGGTGGCTAAACGGTAAATCCCCATCTATCTTACAACTCTCAATACTATGCCCGCTGAGGATTGAGCATTTTTCCATCCTTGCAGGGTTGCATTTGTGATCAATGTTTGTACATTTTAACATTAGAATGTTTTTATATGGAGTACTTATTTGTCATGTACTCGCCTTTCTTCGGGCCACTTGCATATGGCGAAGGGGACAGAGCAGCTTGGTGGGGAGTCACACTCGTGATGGGGGCGTGGCATGGGGTTCTTCCCCCCTCCCTGTTTAAGACTCCCCAGCTTCCCTCTGTTTTCAATGGTGATATTTGACCTCTTACTTTGTTGTCTGGATTGACCTTTCCTTATGTCTGACTACGTCTCTGCATTCTCATTTTTTTTTTTTGTATCTAGCTATCAGTGTCATTTTGCATATTGGATTTGTCCTGCTCCAAAACCATGTCAGTCTGTGTGTGCGCATGTAGGGGTGTATTTGTACGTACCATTGCCATCAAAATGCAGTGGTTTATTTCTATGCCATGTTTACATTTCAATGCAGGGGTGTGTTTGTATGTAGGGTTGGCTTTTAAATACAGGTGATATACTATTTCTCCCTCAATGGGCGGCCAGTGATAGGTTCGGAGCACCTGTGGATGTTCTCAACCATCATCAGCTGGCCAGCAAACTTTCCTGATACTGCGGTGACAGAGAGGAAGTAAAAAAGGAGGCAGATGTAAGATATTATCCAAACACTCTTGCCTCTTAACAACTTAACTAAGCTGAAGTTGTTATGGGGGTGGGAGTTTTCTTTTCAAGTGATACTATAGTGTTAGGAATACAGTTTTGTATTCCCAACACTAAAGTTTCCTTTGCCTCCTCCCTCCTTTTCACGCTGTCCCCCAGCCAAAAAAAAAGGATTTTAAAATCCTTTATTCACTTACCTGATTCCAGCACCAATGTTACTTGGCACTGGGTCAGTGCTCTGCCTCCTCCGAAGTCAGCCGTCAGGGAGGGTAAATGCGCACTGTGAGCGCATTAGGACCTCCCCATAGGAAAGCGCAACCTAAAGTCCGGTAAAATCCTTTAAGCACCTCTATGGGGCTGTCTGGTAGGCAGTCACTAAAGGCTATCTTAGTGCTGCAATGTAAACATCACATTTTCATTAAGACTGCACTGTTTTACACTGCAGGACTAAGGGCAATAGGGCCACTGTACCCAGAACACTTTAATGAGATGAAGTGGTGTGGGTGCCTAGTGTCCCTTTAAATGTAACGGGTCAGCTTAAGTTCCATAAGTGCTTTGTATTACTACAAAGTGTATGGTGATGAGAGCAACCCGAGCCTATAGTCATTTCTGAGAGAGGCTTATAACAGCTTTGTAAAAATTGCTATCCGGTCTTTCAGTGAGGCTTCCAGGGTGGTTTGTCTGCATCAGGCTTCCTCAAACTCCGGCCCTCCAGATGTTGCTGAACTACAACTCATGATTCTCAGCCGATTTCATTCATAGAATCATGGGAGTTGTAGTTCAGCAACATCTGGAGGGCCGGAGTTTGGGAAAGCCTGGTCTACATGTTGGCCTTACAGTGCAAACTGTAGGATCATTCTCCATAGACCAGAATGATTTAAAATTTAATTACTTTCGTAGCAGTAAGGCTACCTATTCAAGCATTTGCAGTGATGCTAGAAGAACAGTGTGATGGTAGCACTGGAGGACTAGGTCACTTAAAAAAATAAATAAATATAAATTGGTTGTGCATTCCGTAGCCAACCCACTTCAGTTTGTTAAAGAAAACACCAACAAGTCCAATCAAATCAAGGTGAGGGTGTGCAACTAGTGCTGTCCATATTTTAATTTAAAAAAAAAACAAAACAATATATTCAGTATATTTGCTACAAATTTGGTGAAAACAATACAAAGATTTAATTACATATAGAAAACCTCAAAGTGCCAAAGAAAAAACAAAAAATAGTCACAATCACAAAATTAAATAATAATCAATATGCAGAAAGCAGTTTCCAGAGAGTCATGTAAAGATTAGATTTAAAAAGTTAGCCATATAACAAAGTATGTTTACTCTTCCAGTAAGATTTAAAATCTAGCTACAAACAAATATTCATTTATTTTTATTGCTCTCTGGATAAATTGCTTATCTTAAGACACAAAAGACTGCATATGATTTACTTTCGTTAGTATCCCTTTAAAGTGAAAAAAGTCTATGACTTCAGAGCAGCGTGTTACAGAATTACAATCTGAATTCTTTAAACACACAAACGACTCAACCAATCACATTTTAGGCAAATGCTCCTGAATCCAGTATTCGAAAATCTCGGAATGGATTTCGGACCATCAGTACTCCATCACAAATAGCTGCCAGAATCTGTTGAGAAGAGCACATATTTTTGTTTTCAAAATGGACATAAAAAAAAGGGGTGACATTTTACAAGGGCATCTATATCAATTTTTATTTTTTATATATTTTTTTTTTTAAAGGGAACCCTCAGTGGCCACCTGTAGTCGATTGTACCCATAATGGTTAAGGAGAAGTTTGAGAATTGCACTTAAAGTTATAATACACACTGAAACAGAATGAGAGGAAACAAAAATAAATATATACAAAAAATAAAATAAAAATAAAAGCTTTAACATACTTTAAAACGGGTTTTCCGGTTTTGTATTCGTAACCCATGTTACAGGGGAATTTCTAAGTTTTAGTCAAAGGTGTAATTTTCAGAGAAGTAGTGAGTGCAGAATTGGTTGATAATGAAAAACTCTTAAATTAAACACGCTAAAATTTTTGGTAGTCCAGGGTTTTGTCTTAGGCCTTTTTATATTCAGTCTTTATTGGCAACATAGAAAAAAGTACTCCCCAGGTAAACAACCTAATAGGGAGTACCAGAAAAGGGAGGGTTAGTGGGGTGGCAAAAAGGGCATAACCCTGCATAGAGCACAAAAGAAAAAAGGTGAAGGATATGATCACCCCGTAAAGAAAACGGGCTGGTCACCTTCAGGCCACCCCAAAATGACGTCTCAAGAAAAATAAACAACTTTTATTGGAAAACTAGAGAACAAACAAAGTTCTAAAAATAAATGGATACAAAGGGCCTGGTTTCTGCAGAGATATAACTACGCACACATGTATCAATCTCTACACAGTGTAGCAGACTCACTCATAACAGAGTAGTAGCTAAGATACATGTAGCAATATGTAGTAAATGGTGTCATGCACCAGACCCCACAGGGTTAACACTCTGGTATAGAAATCGAAAGGATAGCGGAGGTAATAAAGTGAGAATGAAAAATAAAGTGAAAATAACCTGTCAAAGGTAATACAACAGTAGTTGAAGGTTGTATCTAACCACAAATAGCTCACTAAGCCCCACCACCTTAATACAAGTGTCCAGAGCAACAAGATAGCTCAAACATTGGTGTAACACCCTGTAATCCAGAAACACTGGGTTAATCTAAATGAAACATGGACAGCCCACACCTGGTATTCCCAGGCAGTCTCCCATCCAAGTACTAACCAGGCCCGACCCTGCTTAGCTTCCAAGATCAGACGAGACCAGGCGTGTTCAGGGTGGTATGGCTACCTTTTTTCTTTATTGGCAACAATTGATCATAGCACAAACAATAACAAGCACATCATAAACTAATGAATATAGTCATGAATTCCAGTGATCCCTCCACAATCAGTTTTATCTTCACATACAAATGCACTCAGATTCCATTTGTAGTCATCATTCACAAAATCACTATATTGAAACAAGCTGTATAAAATGGTGTCAAAGTAGGTCAACTTCATAAAAAATTTCAAAAAGGGAAATCCAATATATCTATCGTAGAAGTACCTATAAGGTAACTAAACACTATCGTAGGACATTAGGAGCTTTGTTTTCAACAGATTCAAAATTTGTCTTTAGAGCTTTGTCTTTAGAGATCTGATTCTTTGACAAGAATCCCACTACCCTCCTTTACCTATTTTGCCTATTACCCTCCAGACTAAATTTTGATTTAAAAAAGAAACATGAAAGAGGTCTTCGTTACCATTTCTTTCTGATATCACAACTTGTTGAGGTCTTAAACCGTCCTTAGAGGGGACTATAATACATAAATTAACAATTTGGTCTCCAGTCTTTTTAGTAAACATGAAACACTCACATTTGCCAACAACAAAATGCATACATTTAACTGTTGTAATTAAGGTAGATGGACTACAGTTACAGAACATAAAATGGCATTACACCATCATTCTAGAATCAGTTTTAATCCATTTGAGCCAGGGCTGTATTTAAACCAATGTCAACTAGTCCTGAGCTTAAAGTTGAATGCTGGTTGGATCAGAAGAATGTTTGTGTTTTATATTTACATATGGCGTTGTAGTGAAGGCAAGGTGTGTTTTTGGCTATTTGTGAACACATATATGAAATGAATTAGGAAGCAGAGGGCACTGGGAGACAGATTTCCGCTAGATAATCTTCTGAGTGCGTTAGAGGTATCATGTGCTAGGTAGGTTTCCCAGCAGTTGCATACATGCTGCAGTTTGTACACACTTGGGAAATGTAACATATTTCCCTTACGCCACATCTTTTAGCTGCAGGAGAGCACAAATTTGTCTTTAAAGGAGTTACTTCAAGCATCATAACCACTTCAGCCTTTTGAAGTGGCCATGGTTTTTCCAGTACTATGTGAAACATTTCAGTATGAAAACTGCTATACATACACACAGATATCTGATAAAGCTGTCAGAGGTGTAAGTTCAGCTTCATTAGCCCTCCTGAAACAAGGGGAGACTAATGTTAAATCTGTGCATAAAATTAGTCTGTCAGTTTGTGTGGTCGACAGGAATTCAACGGTGCTGCACATAGTTCTTCCCCAGCCCTTCCTCCATTAATTCCCTCCCCCTGCAGTGAGATGGTGTGACGTTACAGGAGGATTCGGATGCAAGAAGAACTTGGTGTTTTTTTTCTAGACTTCTAAAAAGCGCATATTTTATTAGACTCTAAAAAGAAATTGCCAGAATTACCAAGACTTACCAACCACTGTAACTATGTAATTGTTTGGTTACTATGAGTAACACTGAAAACAGTGACTAGAAGCAGCAGTAATTTGACTTGATCTTGATGTACTAACGTGTATACTTACTACCTGCCCATCTGTTTAATCTGGATGATGCATTTTGGTAAGATACAAGTTATTTCAGTACGGTTTTATATTAAATTATTATTTGCCCCATAGCAGCATTTTCTCTACTTTCCCTCCATTTACGATTTTAGAAATCTATTTCTGGCTGGTTTGGTCAAGCAAGTTGAGCTCTCTGCCCATTATCCGCTGCTGCCTTTTGGCCATCATTTAGTATTGCGAATGACCAGTTCATTGTGGCTAGGCCATCTCCATTTTTAATAAATATTCCTTAAAAACAAACAAACAATATTAGGTGTCCCAGTCACTGAGGCCATCTAGTGACAATTAACCAAATTGCTTGATGTTGAACTTCATTTATCTTAAAACAAGAAAATTGGGGATGACAAAAAGGGAAGTGAGAGAACAAAGATGAAAAGTGAAAAAAAAAAAAAAAGAAAAAAAAAAGACCCGCAGTAAGCATTTGCTTGGAACCCCACACCCCTCCTTTTTAAGAGCTGGTAAGGAATAAATGATTATTATGTCCAGTTATGTAAAACCATAGAACTCTTTCACATGACTATTTCATTTTTTACTGCTTCACCTCTTTATCCCTTCTATGGTTTAATTTTTCTCACTTTTTCTATGAATCAAAGAGCAGGAAAATGTGGTGCTAATATGGCAAAATACATACATAATATTGTAGCTAGAAAATCCATACATTATAATAAATGTCCATATTATCAAAATATGGGTATCCAAAAGGGTATGTATACACAAACACAAATACTTACATACATACATACACATAGTTCGCCCATTAGTCTTAACGCATAATAAAAAATATTACCTCCACACCAATTAATGCAATACAGGCCCAAAAGAGCCAGGTCAAATAGAAGTTTAGCCTCTTGTGTAGCTTTAAAGAGCATCCCTGTTGAGAGAAAAAAAAAATTAAAAAAACTTGTTTAAATCTCATAAAATGCAAGAAGTACAACAGCGCATTTGCTTATTAAAGGACCACTATAGTGCCAGGAAAACACTTTTGTTTTCCTGGCACTACAATATTAATAGGTCCCCCCCACACTCATGGCCCCCCTCCCGCTGGGCTGAAGGGGTTAAAATCTTACCTTTCTCTAGCGCCGGGCTCCCTCGGTGCTGGGGACTCTCCTTCGGATGTCATCGGCTGAATGCGCGGCAAGAGCCACGCGCGCAGTCAGCCAGTCCATAGGAAAGCATTCTCAATGTTTTCCTATGGACGCTGGCGTCTTCTCACTGTGAAGATCACAGTGAGAAGTGCGGATGCGCATCTAGCGGCTGTCAATGAGACAAGCACTAGAGGCTGGATTAACCCTAGTGTAAACAGCAGTTTCTCTGTAACTGCTATGTTTACAGCAGGCAGGGTTAACCCTAAGTGGACCTGCACCCAGACCACTTCATTAAGCTGAAGTGGTCTGGGTGTCTATAGTGGTCCTTTAATAAAATTACTTCAAAGTTGTTTTCAATTCCTATTTTATAAAAAGCAGCTGAATTAGACATGGAACAAATTGTGATCCAGTAACGCAAAGCAAAACAGCAAGCATGGAAGGCTTTTTTACACAGCAATACATCAGAAGCTAGAAGCAAAGCATTGTCATTTTTGCATAATATTTCAAATGAGGGGTTCAAAGAAAAAAAAAAAAAATTTATATTATATATATATATTTTATAATAAATGTATTTACTTGATCTGCAATTAGATCCAATGTGGGTTTTCATTTCTTTTTTAAATTAATAGGTTCATAATTTATATAGCAAGTACTAAGTAAGTTTGTAAATTAACCACTACCGTTTCAAGGAAATGAATGAAGTAGGGCAGCGTTTTCCAATTGGTGCACCGCAGAACCCTAAGGGCCACCCGATGGGCATTACTGCAAAGGCACCCAGTCAGCGCCACAGCAGATTAATTATGAGTCTGGGTCCCCGTAGTATGGGATGCTGGGAGGAAGTGACGAACGGTCATTTCCTCCCAGCTTAATATAGATAACGCTGCGCTGGAGGGACAGTGGCAGCAGCCGGCAGTTTCCAGCTCCACACACACACACACACACACCAGCCTCAGCCAGAAAGTCACCCTCCTGCAGACAACAGGTATGCTAACAGAAGGGTCACTGCAAATATAAAAAAATGGCATGCGTATGTATATATCTGTGTGAAATCTTTGTGTTACTATGTGTATTAATGTGTCACTGTGTGTATCTGAGTGTTCGTATCTATGTGTCAGTGTTTGTGTAACTGTGTTTGCAGTTGTCAGTGTGTATCTGAGTGTATGCACCAGTGTGTGTATCTTTCAGTGTGTGTGTGCCTGCATGCGTATCTGTGTGTCGGTGTGCCACTGTGTGCCTGTGTCAGATTCATACACACAAACACAGATACACACTGTGTGTGTGTGCCACTATGTGCCTGTGTGTATGTGTGTGTGTGTGTCAGATACACACACACAGAAAAGGTTTATGCAACGGCTCAAGTTATTTCTTTTTTATGGGGGGCGGGGAGGGAGAGGGGGGCTCCACGATGTTGATACACTATGTCAAAGGATTCCATAGGAACCCCGATGTAGGGAAAGCTAGAGGTTTTTCAAGTTTTTAAAACTGTTTTTTTTCAAATGTGCGCCGAAACCTTCCATTTTCACCACATATTTAACAATTATCCTCACATATACTTTTGGTACCTTATGATAGAACTGGAGCAATCGTCCGAGACAGAGAGTACATTAATTCCTTATGATGTAATAAAGTCCCTAGGAGTTAAATAAGTGCAAAGCTTTCTTTGGAGACAGACTAATTATGATAAAATCTAGATTTTCTTTTTTACTTTGCCAATCTCTGCACTGCCTCAGTTTCGCAGTACTCGGTTGTGCTTCAGATGTACTGCTTCTGGACTGCAGTGCTAAACCCAGTTTGAAATTGCAATCTATGATTAGCAACTAACTCTACTCTCATAATACCTTCTGCCCAAAGAAAATAAATAAAAAATAAATAATAAAGGTCACAAATAGGGTTCTGTACTAAAGTAAGCATTCAAAGTGAATTTCAAATTTAAGGCCATAGTTGCTACAAGTGAGGGTTTTAGACCTCCCTTATTCCCCCACTTGCAATACAGCAAATTGGGGCATATCTATTAAACATGGAGACCAGGGACGCTCTAATAAACGTTTAGCCATTGTCCACCTCCCAAATTTGTGCTATTGTCATCACGCTCCCTTTAGTGTTGAGAAGGTCTCTAGCCACCCGCTATTAAAATAAATTAACCCTACCTACTTGCCACACGGAAATGGGGTAGCAATACAACAAATACATGTAAAAAATAAATTATATATATTTAGCAAACAACTGGTTCTTAAAGGGACACTCCAGGCACCCAGACCACTTCTGCCCATTGGAGTGGTCTGGGTGCCAACTCCCACTACCCTTAACCCTGCAACTGTAAATATTGCAGTTTTCCTAAACTGCAATAATTACCTTGCAGGGTTAACTGCTCCTCTAGTGGCTGTCTACTAGAAAGCCACTAGCGGGCACTTCCGGTATTATAGCTATAGCGTCGCTGGATGTCCTCACGCTATGTGAGGACCTCCAGCGTCACTGAAATCCCCATAGGAAAGCATTTGTCAATGCTTTCCTATGGGGAGGTCTAACGCGCATGCGCGGCATAGCCGCACATTAGGTCTCCCCCGCCGCCGGCCGCGCATGCGCATTAGGTCTCCCCAGCCGGATGATGGTGGGGGAGGAGTGTGGGCAGACCCTGAACCAGTGCCGAGGTACATCGGCGCTGGATACAGGTAAGTCACTGAAGGGGTTTTAACCCCTTCAGCAACTTGGGATGAGGGGTGGGAGAGAGAGGGGACCTGCAGTGCCAGGAAAACGGTTTGTCCTTTTAATGATTACTAGATATGCCACCACCAGCGGTATGGCATGTGGGGGCATAGGAAGATTTATTTTTAAATGGAGTTTTATAAATATTCCAACCCTATACTTTGTCTAGAGATCAGATGCAAAAGCACGGATTTCAATCCGGATGCCAAATGCATCCAGCCAATTGATACAGATTTGGTCGTACCGACCGAATTTCAAACCAGGTGTGGCTTTAGTAAATACAAACATTGCCATTACAGTTGGAATTTGTCAGTTTTCACTGGATATTCTTCATCCAAAAGAAAAGCTGGTGTTTTGTTAATTACCCTGTAAGTCAACTATACTTCCAGTTCAGCTACTTTGCCCTTAAAGAAACACTTTAGGATCAGGAACACAAACATGTATTCCTGGCACTTTAGTGCTAAAAACATTAAAACCACCATCTAGTCACCCTGCCCCTCCTTTCCCCCTTAAATATAGTAAAACGTTACCTTTATTGCAGTCAGCTGCTGCTGGCTCTGCCCCTGATCTGCCTGCTTGGCTGACATCAAAAGTGAAGCCAAACACAGCCCTGGTCATCTCCTCACAGAGATGCATTAAATAAATGTATTTCTACAGGGAACATTCAGTGTGTGTATATCGTTATGTGTGTCAATATTTGTATCTGAAGGTCTGTCAACATATGTATGTGTTGTCAGAACAACAGTGTGGCAGTGTATGTATATATGTGCACACATCTCAGCATTCAAATGCCAACACTACACACCAATACATCCCTACATGCAAACACTTTGCATAGAGATACGGATTGTCAGTCCTGCAAATTGTGCAGCACTGCCCTAGGAAGCACCTCTAGCAGCATTCTGAGGAGTGGCCAGTGGATGTATCTCTAGGCTGTAATGTAAATACTGCCTTTTCTCTGAAAAAAAAAAAAAACACAACATTGTTTACTGCAAAAAGCCTGAGGGCACTGACTATATTCACCAGAACAAATACAATACACTGTAGTTGTTCTGGTGACTGTAGTGTCGCATGGATTCATTAAGTCACTCTAGAGGAAAACAAATCAATAGTATTTCTACAGCCATTTTCCAGTGATCTTGTACAGGGGAGAACAACAAAGCAGATATTAACCCTTTAAGACAGGAGGGCGTACTATTACACCCTATTCTAAGAGGCTCTAAACGACGCTGGGCGTAATAGTACGTCCTCCGGTCTTTCTATACTTATGCAACACGTCCGACACCCTGGAAGCCCCCCGGCCATGTGAGAGTGAGGTCCTTGCGAGGACCTCACAATCACATGGCCGGGATAGCTGGCTTCTGTATTGCCAGCAGGGGGGGGTAATGACAGGTGGTCCCCCTGCTGGCTGAAAATAAAATAAATTAAAGTTAAATAAGTGTAAAAAAAATAAATAATATATACTTAGATCATATACACACACAGTCTAGGTGTATTTTACTATTAATATATATATATATATATATACACACACACACACACACACACACACATATATATTTTAATATCAAATTACACGTAGACTGATACATTAAAAAAGTGCTATATAAAAAAAGTGCTATATAAAAATTTTTTAAATACATTAAAAAAATAAAATTAAAAATAAATTAAAAAATATATAGATGTGTGTTATTTCGTAACTGTATTGTGAAATTAAAAAAAATATATATCAAAATACACGTAAAACGAAATATATATCTATTTACATAAATATATATAAAATATTTTTAAAAAATTATATATATATATACATATACACACACACACACATATATATATATATATATATATATATATATACACACACACACACACACACACACACACACACACACATATACACACATATTTAATTCTACATATATATTTATGTAATATTTTTACATAATTAGGTATCTTAATTAATTACAATTAGCGGGACCTGCCTGACAACCCATGCCGAAAGTAAAGGGAATTTAATAATTTGCTAGCACTATATTTAACCCTATAACTTTCCAAGACACCATAAAACCTGTACATAGGGGGTACTGTCTTACACGTGAGACTTTGCTGAATACAAATATGTGTATTTTATTGCAGTAAAATCAAATAGTATTATGAAAAAAAAAATACATCTTATTTTCTCCCATTGTTTTCATATTAAATTATGTTACATAGCTAAATATTTGATATTCAATGAAAGCCCTGTTTCCCCTGAATAAAATGATATATAATAAGGGTGTGTGCATTTACTATGAAAGAGGTGAATTACGGTTGGACAGACATGTAGCGCAAATGCCAGGTTTTGTTTACATTTTGTTTTGTTCACAACATGTACATTTGGCTCCGTCCTTAAGGGGTTAAAAACAAGAAAAAGTGGAACTAAACCTCTCCCCCAATAATCTGCATAGTTCTGATCTCAAACACTAGGAGTCTGCCTAGTAAAATCCAATATTCTGTGTCATTCTTGTCTCAATCACTAGGGGTCATCCTAATAAAGTCAATGTAGTTTTCATATAAACCACTCTGAGTCATCCAAGGAAAACAAAGTTCTTCTCTTAACCACTAGGGGTCATCCTTATTGCTACTAAGTGATGCTAGTACTATTCAAACTATAGGGATTAAAGCAATAGAACCAAGTAGTGATACCTATCCACCAGTAGAGGTCACTCTCCTACTCAGAAGCCTTAGTTACTGAATGCAAATCAAAATAAGACAATATGTGCAATATTAAGTTATGTTAAATACAGAAACTGGGGGATGGGAAAGAAGATAAGGGAAGAAAAAAAAATTCCAAATAAGGAAAATTGAACACCGTGGTCTATTCGTCTGGGTTAGAACACTAACTCATCCCTACGTATTTGACAGCCAATGTTCCCTAATTGGAAAGTGTGTCCTGTTCTTAAAAGAAAATTAAAAAAAAAAATTAAAAAAAAAATCAATATATTGAAAAAGTCTACAACAAAAATAAACTTGCTGTTGTTATATGTAGTAATATGGCACCAAACCTATAGTGCCGGGATCATCAGTATCCCTACTGTCAATACTTACTTGTTAGAAATTGGTCAATTATTATCCTTATGTATATGTATTACACTACTAAAGGTTAGTTTTAGAAGATTTTAATCACATTATCTATGTACCTTTTAGTTTCCAACGAGGGCTAGAACTCATCGGTCTTGTGGTGGACCACGTATGACCCCTATGGGAATGTTGGGGAGAACTTTGTATATGTATATACTGAACAGTTGACCGAGGAGCTAAATATGGATATGTTAGGGTGACTGGTCGTCTTTGTGGGAGTGTGATTTTTCCTGTATTTCAGCAGGTGGGGTCCATCAATTTAGCTGAGCCTAGGGTAGCATAAAACAAATACATCAATGTATGTGCTTGTATACTTTTATCTGCACGTTAATGTCTAATTGTGCGTGAGTGGATACCTTTAAAGGTGTGAGAGTATGAGACTAGTTTTATATATTTTTGATGGTCAAGAGTCTATTAAATAAATCAAGGTGGTAGGTGGCCATGAGGGAAAAAAAGGTGGAGTTTGTGTGCATTAATGTTTTGGGGCGGAGGAGTCATACGGTTTGCTTTGGGCTCTGACCCAGGTATTTGGATTTGAGCAGCACCCCTAGCTCTTATAGAAAATAAGTGTACATATCAAAGGTACTGGCCCAGTACATTAGCCAGGTTTTCCATGGTCTACCGAAACCAGTTGTCATTTAGTTACCTCATGATATAGTTTATAAGATTCTGTGATGTTTCCAGTGCAGGAGGGAAATCCTAAATCACAGCATGTCTCAGGTACACTGTAATTCCCAGACTGTTTGTACCAATCTGTAGCTTTCCAGTCAGTGTAATTATATAGGCCACAGCACTTCAGCTAAAATAAAAAACACAAACATATTACAATCAGAAATGCAAGCAAAATAAAAATCAATGTTTAGATTATGAATATTAGCCAATCAGAAATAACATAATGGATCAATACTGCCCTCGGATTGCATTTCACTTGTACTTCGAAGATGGCTATATGCTTGCATTACTTGTGCTTTTTTGACTGCCTATTGTACAGTTCTGCACAATATTCTTTTGCATTGCAGCTCCACCACATCTGCTCCCATTACGAAGTACCAAGTGAGGATGTAAGGCTGCCCTCTGGAGGACACAGGACGAATTATAGCTAGAGGGGTATCTATTTCTTTGCAGCACTGTGACCCTACAAAAAGTAGAAATCGAATGGTGGATCACAAGTAGACGGGAGTCCAGAATTTTGTATTCTTACTAGACCCAAATATTTCTAGGGACAACCCTGGCCAATGCCATTTGGACTGACTGGGCAGCAACTAATGTAGAGTTAATGTAAAGATATTCTTACATAATGAAAAAAAAAGCTTCAATTATGCATTTAACATTACACAGCAATATAGATTAGAAAATACATCAAGATCACTTCTCCATTTTTGCTGTTCTTCCAGTTAAATAAATAAATATATATATATAAATAAAAATTTTTTTTTTTTTTTTTTTTAAATAAAACAAATTTAAAAACGTAATTTCCTGTTGACATTTTATTTAAAAATCCTTCTTGAATCCAAAGTGGGTAAGATACCCTTTCAGATGAACAATCTGTTAAAGGATTACTCCAGGAAAACACTGGTTTTGATCAGAGTGATCCTTCCTATTTTTACCCCCCCCCCCCCCCCTCCTTCTCGCCCCAAAAACGAGAAAGCAGATTAAAAGGACAAAAATAAATAAATAAATGACTAAAATGCAGCACTGCTGTGGAAGTCAAGTTCCTGCAACTCAATCCTTCTCAGTTGACATCACTCCCTCTTTCCAACGGTGTAGGTGGGGATGCCAGGGAAGGGGGGAGTAAATGTCAGGGAAGGAGGGCTGAGGGGAGTACATGGGTGGCACGGGAGAGAGGAGGGGTTACCACCATTGCCTGTCTGGTGACAGCTAGCCATGTGTGCTCTGGACCAGCTAATCTTACACATTAGTACCACCCGTAGGGTTTTGGAAAACAACCTATAAACATGTACAATACACTCACACTCCCACACTAAATCTTCCCCTCTGCCTGTGATACAATTACCTTACACAATGGGTAATGTAATCATCACAGCCAGAGAAATACAGTTTTTCCACATTATTCATAACTTGAAAAGTATGCATCACATTCACATTTTACATTTTCAGAATCAGCATACTCCAAGCACAAACATATGTCAAAATCATCCAAATTGGTCCACTGGTTCAAAAGAAAGATAGATCGAAGTCCTTTGTGACCAAATAAAGCATGGCTTTTCTGCCCAAAACCAGTTCCACAGAGTCTTCTATCCTGGAGATAATTGGGAAGTAATGCAATTATCTCCAAGGACAGAGGCAAAACTCCATTGAACACATGGCAGCAAAAGACAATAAAACACATCAAAATATATAACTGTGCAGCCATTGCACAAAACAGGTACATTCAACATATCCCCAGATAACTCAGATCTGAGCGCACATTATTACTGAATGGCGCTCAGAGCACACACATACGGTTCAATTGCCATGGAGCCAAAGTCTTTCCTGTAGATGCGAACATCCATTTTGCTCAATAGCCTAGCTGTTCATATAAGGGTTAATTTGAACCAAGAATAGATTTGGAATTGTATCTCCAATTCTCGGAAATAAAACTTATCTATTTACGGGAAATGTTATTGGAACATGATTTTGGATATCTACATGACATGACATTATAAGGATTCTGGAATGACCTTGTTAATTGTCCAAGATTTTGGTATTTGTAATCATCTGGGTTTTATCCAATATGCATACATTATGTAACATCGAATTATAACTAAAAACAGCTGTTTATAACTTGTGAAAAACAATGTCATTGTCACGCCCATATGCTCATTTTTCCCCCTCCAGCTATGAAAATGGGGTATATATATATATAACTGACGTATGAATACAATTTGAATTGGTTATTGAACACGTCTCTGCTATTCATTTCCAATTTCCAGAGCTCTGTATGAGTTGGCAAATATCCATCATCCACAAAGGGCCCGAGCTGATTTTATCCCCAACAAACTGGTGTCAGAAGTTTTTGGGTGCAATTTGACGGAATGGAGATGACAGGTAAGAGGATCTTTAAAGTCCTTCTTTACCTGCTTCTCCCATCCCCCACACATTGCATTTGTAATGGGGTTTTTCACTATTTACATTTTTAAAGGGGATTTACACAGGATAATGTCTTTGGTAGACATGGTATTTTGTTAAGTCTTTGGTAGACTTCTATTACTCCACGGGTTGGAGGATTGCCTTTGGTAGGCAGTAGTGGTTATGTGCACATTTCCTCTTTGGTAAGAGGTTCACCTTTGGCCAGGTGTTAAGAAGAATTTCAAGCCTTTGGTAGGCTGTGATGTCCTGTGATGTACATTTACATATGGGAGACGTCCCTAGATCCCTCTTTGGTAGAGGTTGCCTTTGGTAGGTTGTAAAACAGATTTCCAGTCTTTGGTGGACTGGGTATTTATTTAACGTAGATGTCATTTTTGCAGACTAAATTGGTTTAAAAAAAAAAAAAGGGTTAAAAGGTATGATGGATGTTTGGCATTACTCCGGCTTGCTAATTTATGTGCTATTTTATGATGTGCAACGCTGATTTTAAGCATAAAGTCTTAATTGAGGGAATGTCAAAAGTACATGTAAAGGTGATGATGAATAAAGAAAAAAATTAGAGGTTATTTAAGGGGGGCTACAAATTCTAGAACTAACATGATTTCTCTACATGTATGTTTGTTTGCATAATGAGCCCTTTATTTTTATACTTGGACAAAAGTACTATAAGCCCACTACACTTTTTCATGAGAGTGGGATGTATGATTGTTTATATGATGAGCCCTTTATTTTCATATTGGGACAAAAAGTCACTTCATTCAAAACGTCAAACACCACATTCTTTCTGCCCTGTGTGTTTGTTGCAGAGAATTTATGTTGTAAATTTAGAAGAGAGCAAAATTTATATTTTCAGCGTTCCAACACATGCTTCATTTTGTGCTGTAAGCTAACTTGTAGTATTCCAGTGCGTCACATGTTGTGCTTCAAATTGTATGTATTCTGTAAATTGTTGTATGGGGTTGCTGAGATTTTATTGATTGTGACCCAAACTGTGAAGAAGTGGGTTTGAAATTTTGGTCATGGAATGTAGGATCAGAAAACCATGGACAAAGGTTTTTTTTTTTTTTTTTGTAAATATGATTTTTATTTTTATTTTCAAATCAAGACAGTCCTACTTCACTTGGACTCGCAGGTCCATGTTTAGTGAGGGCATAGAGTAAATCAGCGACATTGTAAGGTTGGGTAGCAGTGCGGGCTCGCAGGCCCCATAGACAATGTGGACTCGCAGGTCCCTCTTGCGATGGTATATCATACACTGTTTGGAACAAGCAGTTGAGGGACAGACAACTCATGATATACTCAGTTCATCAGTCTCCCAGCTTGAACTGCTAGTTGAAGACCTAAACTTAGATGTGATGCCTCCCCGTCCCCATGCGTTCCATGATAATTGTCCGTCCTCTCCCCTGCTTTACTATGGTCATGAACCGTCTGCCTACATGGTGGGTGTCCACTATGTGTGGTCTCCAAGTCGCCCTAATCCATGCAGTACTAGGCGATCCCTGCCAAATCAAGGGTACCTTTTATTCGTGTGTTAAGGTGGTCTGGATGAGTATGTCGTGGTGGGGGGGTATCGGGATAGAGGTCTAGGTTCTGTCGGTGTCTGGGGTCCGCCGCTTGGTGTAGCGTTAGTCCAGTCTCTATTGTTGGGCCTGGGTCTCGCCCAGGAAGCCTGGTTGTGTCGACTTCAGTAGCCAGTGCGTCCATATATTGAGATATGTTTGGTGTGTGTTGTTTGCTGTGGCGTGGAGTTCTTCTAAGGACCTCAACTCCTCCATTTGGGTGAACCAAGTTTTCAGTGGCGGGGCGGTCTGCTGTTTCCAGTATTGTGGTATGGTAGTTTTAGCTACATTTAGTATGCGGATCGTCAGTGATTTCTTATATATGGTCCTAGGGACCTTAGTGAGGTGTAGAAGCATTTCTGCTGGGCCGAATGGGGGTGGGTCATCTGAGAGTTGCCCTATAATTTTGTGTATGGCTTTCCAGATGGACAAAGGTTTTAACCTGTGTTGATATGACTTTTGGAAACTCAAACTGACCGGTCAAAATTTTGCCATGCCTTTAACATGGAGTAGCATAAATATTTCAGTCTTTGAGAGTTCTGACAAATGCAGGTGATACCATGTCTGTGTAATCTGGTCCAAATGTTCTGTAAGCGTATAAGAGAGAAATTCTATTGACAGGGTACATATGTCGAAACTGGTTAATGCAAGTGTTATACAAATGTTTAAGTCAAACGCGTTATATGGCCGTACGGGATCCCTTCTTTAAAAAGAAAAAATAAACCCTTTGGTACCAGAAGTCTTAAATAAATCTGATACAAACTAGAATTGGTATACCTTACAATAATATGTTCTGAATACAGCTGTTAGAAGTTTATTCTGTGTGAATGATGATTGTCATAAATGTTTGTTTTGGTTACTCATTTTAAAGTGTGCAGTTTTAATTGTCATGTATGTTAATGGCTATTTTGCTGTGTTATTTTAAATTATATTTGAATAAGTTTGTCTAAGTATTGATACAGATGAAAATGTCAGCGTAATAATCTATTAAATAACTGATTTATTATTGAATACTAGTCCAAGAGCAATATGAGTTGTAGTCTTAAGAAAAAAAGGAGGGAGGCTGTTTTTGTAAATTTTAGCTGATTTCCAAAATTCTGTTGCAATAATGGACTTCCTGACAAAATTTGACTTTCCTGTCCAGTTGCCAGGTGCTCTGATCTAATCTTAAAGTAGTACTGCTTGCATAGTTTGCAGACATGCATAATGTACAAACATGGGAACCAAATTATGTCTGTCACATAGTGTGACATTTATTAATTTATTTTGGATTGAGTTAATTGCCTGTTCATGAATATGCTTTTTGTATTGGCATGTCTGCTGGATATCTGCTACATGTTTTCTGTGCTATAAGATGACGTGTGATATTACAATGAGTATGAAGAATATTTAAAGAATATTTGCATGTCATTAACGCAAGCCTTTAGTGTCTTTTTACAACAGATTAAAAAAACGCTGATCAGCCAACAAGAAAGGGGCCCCTGGGAAAGAAAAAGAAAAAATATATCATTTGCTTTACAAAATCGTGGATCCACGTTTCAGTATTATTAGGGGAGTATTTAGAGTTAACTCTACTTTTAAAGTGCATTGCATTATTTAAGAAAAAGAAAAATTTGTTATCTTTAACATAAACAATTGTTATCTTATATGGTTATATAACAAGAAAAAATTAAGGATGTATAGGATAGGTTTTTTCCAAAATTAAGATTCATCTAGTATGCCTCATTGATTATAGGAAAATTATGAAATGGTATTTTTAATAGAGATCAGATAATTTCTTTTGAGGCAATTCTAAACTACTGTATTGTATTTGTATTGGTATATTGAAAGCATTTTGCTGACCCAGAAGAGAATAAATAATATAATAATTATAAAAGGAACCATACTATGGGAAGAGGTCACCCTATTAAATTGCTAAGGGGTTAAACTCATTTTGATAAGCATAAAAAATTTTGTTTTTGTGGTTAGAATTTTTGATACTCCATTTGAACTCAATTGAAGTATTACAACCATATCCTTGCAGGTATAGGAAACATCTGCAATATGATTTTAATATTTGCAATATATTAGTGTTTTCAATGTATTCTGACAATGGAAAAGTTCCTAACCGCATGTCTGTATTACACCTATGACCCAGACTGTCAGTATTGCAAACCCTATATGAAGACTCTGCTATCACTGTTTATGTATACACCCCTAGACAACCGTGCTAAACATGCACAATAAAGCTTATTAATATTTGTGTGGTACACAAAGAGGTGTACACAAAGAGGGGGTGTGAGTTAGGTCATCTCGACCTTCATATGGAATATGCTTCCTCCTTGTTCACTTTTGGTCAAACTGTTGGTCTGTGACTGGCCCTCTTGGACCCCAATTGAATTTTTTGGGAAGATACATGAGAAAGATACAGCAGGTTGTTTTGATATAAAGAAAGAGGGAAAAGTATGTTGTATCGGTCACAATAGGATTGTGATCTTAAGCAGGCGAGACAAGGACATTTTGGAGGTGATAGGAGATTGATCAAATTCTCTACCTCTGCCTCTAAAACTTTTCTGATTCAAAGGATCTAACTTGTAGAGGTGGTAACTTCAGCACTGTTTTAATTGTGGGTAGCAGGGATTCACCCCAAGGTGCTTGTGGTGAACCCAGTTCTCCTGGCCCAGCTGGCATTCAAGGACTCCCACCCTGGCAGGTTCCTCAATACCAACCACAACTTTCAAGCTATACCCACACCCAACAACCTCAGCCTAATACACAAATGGTTCATATTTTTAATACTTTATATATAGTTTTGATAGATAAAACAGTATTAATGCTGGCTCTTAGAGGATGTACAAACTGAAGTTGGGACCTAGACATTGTTTGCATCGCTGCACACTGTGAAATAAATAAAATAAAATAGGATAATAAGTATGCTTAGTCAATTTGTAACGTGGTATCCTAGAGGCATCTGCAATAAAATAAGTGGGTTTACAAGACCTGACAAGTGAGGGCAACTTAATATAACATATGTCTACAGTTTGCTGTCCCTTCCTTATCAGAGGCCACTTGCAACACAGCAGGACAACTCTTCTGAAACCTGTATTAAACAAAGCACTTTAGAACAATAGTAATTCATTTTGTGTCTCTAGTTGTTCTGAAAAAATATATTGTTTAAGTGGGATAACTGTATGGAGGTTCTAACATGTATTAAAACATGATCACACACCTACAGAACTGGTGGCTTTTTGGACATCAGGATCTATAAAAGGTTTCGGTTTCCAAAGATGTTATCAGGGTCCACAAAACTGACAGACTTCAGCATTTCAATGTTATTAAAGTAATTCATTGGGATTATCAAATCAAGGTTTAAGTTTAAGAACAGCATTTTATTGGGAATTATACCAATATGTATATGTTATTGTTTTAGTACTCAACAAGCATTTATATAGAATGAGTGCTTCTCTCATCCATACAAAGGCATTCTAAAGGGAAATTATGTATTAAAATTTTATAAAGGACAAATACAAAAACATAAAGGACATAAACAAAACTGAGAGACGTACATGTTACACTAGTTAAGAGTTTAACTTTAGTCTCTAATTTGAGTTTAGCCTAGATAATTAATTTATTGATGTCGTACTGATCCTTGTGTTTGTATGATTATAGAGACCGTACTGGAGTATTTGTGTCGCCTGATATTTGGGACTACACACCAATCTCTCTGGCTGACCTACCTTTTTTTGCAATTAAATCTGTTTGGTCAAAATCCATGCTGGCCGAAGAAACTGAGATGCTTACTTATGATGACATAGACTAACTTGGAAAGTCCTGAAGATGCAGTGCTGTCTAATGCCGCTATTTCTGTATTACCCTTTCAACAATTGGGGTGTTGCACAGAGTATTGTGGTGAACATCCAGCAAACAGAAGAATTAAGAACTATGTGGAAGCTGACATTGTCTTGTTGTCAGTCATATTGCTACACTTAGCTATGTTATGGTGTCTAAGATTCTTTATACTCCTTGAAAGACTTATAATATTTTTCTGGACTATGCTGGACTATTGAACTATTTTGTTATTTTTATTTTTGTAGAGTTAGCCGGAGAGAGAGGAAGTGTTAGCTTACTCAGGCATGGATGTACTATGTGTGTCATTGATGTATGTTGAGTGTACCAAGGATGGATTCCAATGTATTAAGTGTGGATATGACTGGACCATCGAAATAGGGATTTGATTAGGAGGCATAGGACGCAAGGTCATGATTGGGATTATTGCTAGAATTGCAAACTGATTAGAAATGATCTCATGATTTAATATGTAAGTGGGCCTTTTCAAACTAATCAAGAAGTGTTTCCCAATCCCGATACCCGAGCTATTTACTTACAAGTGCAGGTTTTATACGTCACTAATGCTGTTAACGTGAGGGGATGACATGTCTACACAGTCATGGCCCTCACTTAGAGTTTCCCCAGATGTGCTTTTTTCCTCAATTATGAGTTTTTGCCACTGGGTTTTTTGACCTGGCCCAAGTTCACTGGGTGGACTGGTAATCCAAGACCCTGGTGCAAAGAGGGGAAATAGATTTTATTCCCATTTTTGATTATATGTGTTTACGTTGTGAATTATAATAATAATATTCCCGTTGTTGGGAATAATACACTTTGCCTGTTTTGATCCAAGGCTCAAGTTACAGATAACATAATGTGCAGTATGTTTAAAATTGGTTAAGATGTCAGCTGTTTGAAATTTTTAACTTGTACACTTAAGAAACGTGTACAACAGATGATTACAAAAGCTGAAAATCGACAGCTCGATCTCCTCTTAATGGGAAAACCTACGGCATAGAGCAAATGGGGGAAATCGAGGTGAACAAATAAAGAAAGTCCCGCAGACGTGATTAGCACGTCTGAATACACCTCCTTTGGTTTCTCTGCCGCAGGCCTCCCATGGATATTCCGTAAGGTAGATCATGATCTGATCTAAGAGGGGAATTGTAGATGCGAACATCCATTTTGCTCAATAGCCTAGCTGTTCATATAAGGGTTAATTTGAACCAAGAATAGATTTGGAATTGTATCTCCAATTCTCGGAAATAAAACTTATCTATTTACGGGAACTGTTATTGGAACATGATTTTGGATATCTACATGACATGACATTATAAGGATTCTGGAATGACCTTGTTAATTGTCCAAGATTTTGGTATTTGTAATCATCTGGGTTTTATCCAATATGCATACATTATGTAACATCGAATTATAACTAAAAACAGCTGTTTATAACTTGTGAAAAACAATGTCATTGTCACGCCCATATGCTCATTTTCCCCCCTCCCATCCTGCTATGAAAATGGGGTATATATAACACTGACGTATGAATACAATTTGAATTGGTTATTGAACACGTCTCTGCTATTCATTTCCAATTTCCAGAGCTCTGTATGAGTTGGCAAATATCCATCATCCACAAAGGGCCCGAGCTGATTTTATCCCCAACATTTCCCATAGTCTTTTATTATACGAATGGGCTCCATGGCATAGCTATCTGGGGTATCACTGCTCAAACAGGGCAAGCACCGAATGACCCGGCTTTCAGGTCTTCGCAGGGGAAAATCAAGCGTTTCAACATGGGGCCATAGTTTAAAGGCAGCAGGCGGGCAACCAGGCTCCTCCAATGCAATGTGGCAAGATTGCTCTCGTCACAATCCTTAAAAAGAAAGAATGCACCGGTGAGCTCAACAATACCAAAAGACCCGGAAGACCACAGAAAACAACTGTGGTGGATGACCGAATAATTATTTCCCTGGTGAAGAAAACACCCATCACAACAGTTGGCCAGATCAAGAACACTCTCCAGGAGGTAGGTGTATGTGTGTCAAAGTCAACAATCAAGAGAAGACTTCACCAGAGTGAATACAGAGGGTTCACCACAAGATGCAAACCATTGGTGAGCCTCAAAAACAGGAAGGCCAGATTAGAGTTTGCCAAACAACATCTAAAAAAGCCTTCACAGTTCTGGTACAACATCTTATGGACAGATGAGACCAAGATTAACTTGTACCAGAGTGATGGGAAGAGAAGAGTATGGAGAAGAATAGGAACTGCTCGTGATCCAAAACATACCACCTCATCAATGAAGCATGATGGTGGTAGTGTCATGGCATGGGCATGTATGGCTGCCAATGGAACTGGTTCTCTTGTATTTATTGATCATGTGACTGCTGACAAAAGCAGCAGGATGAATTCTGAAGTGTTTGTGGCAATATTATCTGCTCATATTCAGCCAAATGCTTCAGAACTCATTGGACAATGACCCGAAGCATACTGAAAAAGCAACCAAAGAGTTTAAGGGAAAGACGTGAAATGTTATGCAATGGCCAAGTCAATCACCTGACCTGAATCCTATTGAGCATGCATTTCACTTGATGAAGACAAAACTGAAGGGAAAATGCCCCAAGAACAAGCAGGAACTGAAGACAGTTGCAGTAGAGGCCTGGCAGAGCATCACCAGGGATGAAACCCAGCGTCTGTTGAGGTCTATGCGTTCCAAACTTCAGGCTGTAATTGACTGCAAAGGATTTGCAACCATGTATTAAAAAGTGAAAGTTTGATTTATGACTGTTAAAGGAACACTATAGTCACCTAAATTACTTTAGCTAAATAAAGCAGTTTTAGTGTATAGCTCATTCCCCTGCAATGTCACTGCTCAATTCACTGTCATTTAGGAGTTAATTCACTTTGTTTCTGTTTATGCAGCCGTAGCCACACCTCCCCTGGCTATGATTGACAGAGCCTGCATGAAAAAAAAAACTGGTTTCACTTTCAAACAGATGTAATTTACCTTAAATAATTGTATCTCAATCTCTAAATTGAACTTTAATCACATACAGGAGGCTCTTGCAGGGTCTAGCAAGCTATTAACATAGCAGGGGATAAGAAAATCTTAATTAAACAGAACTTGCAATAAAGAAAGCCTAAATAGGACTCTTTACAGGAAGTGTTTATGGAAGGCTGTGCAAGTCACATGCAGGGAGGTGTGACTAGGGTTCATAAACAAAGGGATTTAACTCCTAAATGGCAGTGGATTGAGCAGTGATGCTGCAGGGGCATGTTCTATACACCAAAACTGCTTCATTAAGCTAAAGTTGTTCAGGTGACTATAGTGTCCCTTTAATCTGTCCCATTACTTTTGGTCCCTTAAAAAGTGGGAGGCACATATACAAACTGTTGTAATTCCTACACCGTTCACCTTATTTGGATGTAAATACCCTCAAATTAAAGCTGAACGTCTGCAGTTAAAACACATCTTGTTTGTTTCATTTCAAACCCATTGTGTTGGTGTATAGAGCCAAAAAGATTAGAATTGTGTCGATGTCCCAATATTTATGGACCTGACTGTGTATACACACACACACACACACACACACACACAGCACCCCTAAACACATTACATTCCAGACACACACTAGATCCCTTACCCAACTCTGGATCATGTACACACACACACACACACACACTAGATCCCTATATACACTCTGAATCTGCTATATACACACACTCACTAGATCTCCTATACACATTCTGGGTCCTTCAAACACACACACACACACACTACACTCCTAACATACACACTTTGGATCCCCTATACACACACACACAATAGTCTGTATGCACACACTTGCTACATCCGCTATACACACACACACACACACACACACTCTACAGCCCCTGGCCACATATGCATTACACCACAAACACAACTAAAACCGACCTTATTACAAAATACCACACTACAATCAGCTCACTCTACACACACGCAATCGCACAAGCAGGCTCCAAACACATGGACAATACTCTTTCCTGGCCCTTTTGTCTCCTGGTATCCATTTATAGAGACACCAGAGACAAGTTGCAAGGAAACACTGTGCAAGCATGTTATTAAATTCGCTAGCGCAGAACAAATACAGGGCCTTTTTCTCATGCTAGAGCTCTTTAGCAGAGTTCTGCACATGGTCTGCCCTGGAAGAGCATTGAACCAACATGCTCACTTTGAGAGGGGGCGTGTTTGTCATTGGTGATGACGAAACACACCCTCTCTGCCCCGCACCCTTCTTAGTGGGCCGCTGTGATAAAAAATAAAATAAAATATGCCTAGGCCAAATTTTTTTCCCAGTCCGGCCCTGCACTATAGTGTTGCTTTAAGTAAATATGTAAACATGGTTTCTCTGAATCAGCAATGGGGCTGTTCATTACTGCTCAGGCCAATATTTCCTCATTAGCCAAGGCAGCACAGAAGGGCTGCTGGGGACTCGCAGTTTGGATTAAAATGTAAAAAAAACAATTGTTTAATACTGACTGAATGATGGCACCAAGGGATTCCAAACACTATAACCAGTTTAATGAGATGAAGCAGATACCGTGCGCCTATGGTATGCCTTTAAAGCATGAAGGTCAATCAAGGGATCAGGCCTAATTTTGCTTGTCGGACAAAATTGCGAACAGTATATCCAAGGTAGTAGAGAGACCGGTTATCTGCATATTTTCATTTTATGCTGAATGGAAATAGAAATTTAAAAAAAAAATAAAAATTTTTTGCACAAACTGTTAATTGCATCTTTCAAGCAGCCATTTACAGTAAAATTAGTGACACGTAGCACATGCTAGCTTTAGCAAGTCGAAAAACAGTCACGTCATAAGCGATCCTAATTAATGTATATACTACGTTAAAAAAGATGGACCGGCTCCAGGCATTTAAACATTTTTTTATCACAATCAATTGAAGTGAAATACCAAATTACCCCTTTCTGAATGTTGTTGACAGTCGTGTCAGCTTCAACTTTACTGTCATTATAATGCTTGAACGCCCTCTTCATTGGTTGCAGCTCATAATCCATCTGTAATCGATATGCATAGTCATAAATATATATACAGCAAAATGTCCAAACTAGAATTTGTTTGAACATAAAGTGCTAGTTTAATTAGACAAACCTTCCTCTTTTTTTTTTTTTTTTTAAACATATCATCACTGTCTGTCGTCTGTGACATCTCAAGTTCTGCAGACATCACACACAGGGAAGTATGGTTGAGTAAACAATGGGAATATGCAAATAAATCTCTCTCTCTCTCTCTCTCTCATATGAGGAAATGAAACAAAAAAAAATAAAAATAAAAAAAGCAGATACAAGCTTACACACCAGGGATAAAATGTTCACTAGTGAAACAAATACACACTTTCAATGTAAAATCCAAATGTCTTTTAGAAAATTCAAATATTGAGACTTACAGTGCCAGCCACAAAACATGAATTAAACAGGACCACATTTTTATTTCGGACGAGGACCAAATCAAATACATTCTATGTATTAATTATGATGTTACTATTATCTACCCAACAGTCTCATCATTAAAAAGGACTCTCCACCACCTCAAAAAAAAAAAAAAAAGAACCCCCACACACACACACACACACACACACCACTTAAAAGTTTTGTAGATATACCTCAAATGAAAACTTGTATGCTTTTATTTATGCACTTTTTCATTCGAGTTATATCTAAAAACAGCTTGCAAAACCTACAGATCTCTGGTCTGCTGCCTTGGCAAGCCATCCCTCTCTTCTCCCATCCAGTCTTTCTGTGACTGTCCAATCACAGACTTCCCAATGCAATTCAATGAGAAGTATTTGCAAGGCAGGTGCTCTGGACAATAACCGGTCTCTTGGGTTCAGCTCGACCGAACTAAACAAAGCAGAAATGTCTAAATGACAGCTGAGGGAGGAGGGGGTGTAACAAGGCTAATTTATAAAAGTTCAAATTTCTATTAAAACCTGCACTCTTTCCCACCCAAGAACTTTAAGAATTTAAAGTGTCCCTTTAACGACACATGACATGTGTGACATGTCATGATTCCCTTTTATTCCAGAAGTTTGGTCCTTAAGGGGTTAAACACAATTCAGTTCACCATATAAAATTTGACTTTAATAGTAAAATGATTTCCTGTACTCACTCTGTTGATGTTAATATGTGCCAGTACAACTCCAGTGGCCTCCAAGCACAGCAGGACAATGATGAAATACATAAACTAAAATACAAAATTTAAAAATAGTTACTCATGGAATGTCTAATAAGTAGTAAAAACATCCGATTAGTATTGCGGCTAGGCTAGTTTGAATCGGACTTGTACGTAACCTTACCATTGAGTTTAATCCCTTAAGGACACATGACATGTCATGATTCCCTTTTATTCCAGAAGTTTGGTACTTAAGGGGTTAATGAGACTCTCTGTGCCGACAATATGTGATAAGGAAATTTTGCTACTAAATTATAACCTTACCCTGAAAATACAATACTGTACTATTCTGATTTTCTTGTAAGAATTTGCATCTACAGAACAAAATACAAAGTCACTACCCTAGTAATACAGTTGAATAATATGTATAATTAAAATGTATACAATACTTTCTGTCCCAACTTGTCATTTTCACTGTGATTCATTGAGAAAAAAAAAACCCTTCCAAAATTGTCTAATTTACACACTGTGTCCTTGCACTCAAAATGAAAATGCCATCATAGTGGTTAGAAATGTATCACTCAAACACATGGGGGCTGAGACCCGGCCGAGCCTCCATCTTTATAGTCTCCAGGCCACAGTCTTCACACCCACCCACCCCAGGACACAACAGCCAAGAATGTCCCCGGAGGGGGTCCCCACAGGCCCAGGAATGAGGCTACGTCAACGCCCCTGTCGGACGATAATCTTTGGCTTTGGCTTATAAGGGGAGATAATGGGGCTGATGGGTAATCCCCTGGAAATCAAGAGGTGTGAAGAGGAGGAGTTTAGACAAGGGGGTAAAGACCCAGTGGCTCCAGAGTTTACATTATAATTAATATTATGGTATGTGTGTGTCTCGCACAATCGACGCAGCGGAATAGGGCTGGGAGCTGCCACCCGGCGCTGGGAACACGTGCTCTCAGGGCAGGAGTGGCTCGCACCCCAGGCTGCTCTGACGATCTGTAAGACCAGGCTTTATTATGTAAAAAAGTTTCAGGTTTTGTTTTATTTCAAGTAGTTTGTATAATCTAGAGTAAAATTAGTGAAAACCCAGGTGGTACAATAGTATAGTACCGTCCTGAGAGACACGGGGTAGGGAGAGGATTTGAGGACTTGAGGCCAGAGCAATGCGCAAGCGCGCTGGGGTAGCTATTCAGGCACAATGCACACAACCAAATAACACATACTTAACGTTTACGCACGGAACAACCCAGACCCCTCAGTTCTGGGACTCCCTCACTACATTGGCAAACACAGGGGAAGGGGAAGTGGTGGTGGGCGATGACTTCAATGCTGTGGGGGGGGGCCAGTCGGGGTCACGGCTCACGCCCACAAAGGAGCCCCAGCGGGTCTTCATCTTTTATATACATTGTGAGATACCTCTTCAAGCAAACTTACTACAAATTTACTGTGTCTATATTGTATTTCTCATTCCTTAGCACACCGACATTCTTACTTCTATCTTTCGTACATAATGGTGATCAACACAGTTCAAAAACATACTGTCAGTACTATAACAAATAGTCTGTTTAAAACAGACTAACCCCAGCTGTGCCGATAACTGGGGTCATCTGATACAGGCAGACACTATAAATCTTTGAACATTGTATCAACTGTATCCTAGTTAACCATTTATTGTGGTAATATTCCAATAACATTGGGACTAATATATTGAAACATTTGTTATACACAGACTGCCATTTTTTTTTTTTTTACTTTGATATTTTTTTTTTTAATTCTTTATTTTTGTCTCACTCCACTCAGGAGTATGCAACAGATGATATGCTTGGAACAAAGTTATACAATAAAACAAGCATGGCATTTAGACAATGTATCAGTACAGAGTGGGGGGAGGACTTTTATATATTTATGGGCATGTGGGCCTAACAGGTAGCGTAGAACCTTTCTCAAGGTACAGATTAGCACCCTCTTATTACATATCGATGGCATATGTGTTTCGTGCTATAAAAAGAGTGGGGAGGACTTCTCAAATAACGTGCACCCTCTGCATGGGTTTGTCAGGATAGCGTCCAGGTCGGGGTGTATCAGCTCCCCGTTGAGGTAACAGCTTCATTACAGAGGGGGAGAAGGATAGTCAGGTATAAGTGGGAGCGCAGCAGCGGATAATAATAACCACCAAAAATAACGTAAGAGTTATAAAAGTGTTAGTACGCAGTTCGTCTGCACGATCTTGCCGTCCTTCTGGCTTGTTGGTGGAGGTGTCTCCTGCCGGCGAACTATGTGTCGTAGGCCAGTCAAGTGACCAGTATTGCAGGCAGCCGTCCTGCGGTTGACCGTGGCATGAAGGTTGGGATCTTAGACGGGTCCATGTTTCCGAGGCGGGAGGTTGAGGCGGGTAGCAGCTTCAGGCTGCGCATGTTGGCCTCTAGTTCTAGTGGGTTCTTGGCTCTGTAGGTGCCTCCCGGGCGGGTAAGTATGAGTAGTCTGGGGTTTCCCCAGAATCCCTTAGGATTGGGCTCTTAGGATTTGGAGTAGGGGTTTCATTGACCTGTGCCAGAGTAATGTCTTTTTGGTGAGGTCAGGGAATAGGAGCAGAGATGAGCCTTCGAATTGGATCGGATTTTCCCTCTCACTGCTGATGAGATTAAGGCTTTGTCATGCATTGTTTGGAAGCGGAGGATGAAATCCGCTATGGCCGTGGTATGGGCGTTTTTTTGGCATTGGTAGCCTGAACATGCCGTCCAGTTTTAGTGCCTTTGCTTGTTTGGCCGGTAGCAGGGTTGAGATGAGACGCCTTATGTAGTGCGGCGTTTCCTCGGTACTCACTGTGTCAGGGATGCCCCTCAGTTTGAGGTTGTACCGTCGCCTCTGGTCTTCCAGGGTGTCAACTCTGGCCTCCATGCCTGTATGGGCTAGATGTATCTCTTCCAGTCTCTGTTCTAGTTTAATTAATCTGGAGTCCTGGTTGCCAGATGTGACCTCTACGGCTGTAAGTCGGGTAAGTGCACCAGCTACTGTCTCTTTAAATTGTGAGATGTCGGCTGCTATATTTGAGCGCAGCTCCTCCAGCATGGTTGTCAGCATATATTTAGTGATCGATTCTTGGCCAGCAGGTGGAGTGATTTGTACCTTCGGTACAGCTCCCAGCATGGCTCCTCCGTCCAGATCAGCGTGGAAGTCCTCAGAGCAGTAAGAGGATGCTTCCGATATCTTGGCTGTTGGGCCGCCTTGGTTTTCTTCGTTTTTCAGCCCATGTTATTGCGATCAGCTGCAGGGTAGGTAACAGCCCGTGTGCTCTGGGTTTCGTCCGTTAAATTAGCCGTTTGGTCCACTTAGTGTCGGAGCTCGCGGGAGATGCGTCCGGTTGGGTCCGCTGCAAGCTCCGCCCCCCACTTTGATATTTCTTAAAGACATATTGCACACACCATAACTACTCCTGATAATCTATTCGATTTTATCCAATAACTTTTTCTACAAATTCTAGCTTTAAGTGGGAGCCTGTTTTATCCAGTAGAGTAGTATCACAGCCATTGCTGCCTATCCTAAATTGAGAGTGTCACTATCACCTACACTTGATTTTTCTTCTCTTTGTAAATATTCTCTCAGGGAGGTTGATACTAAGGCATATAAAATACCAAACAAAGAGCTGTTCAATATATTTAGATGGTCTACAGAGCTCCACCAATAATAATAGTACATTTCCTCACATGCTCCCATTTGTATGGTTTTGCTAGCTATCCTCTCAGTGGAAGTCTTGTTCTTAGGAGTATTTTTCTCAAGTTTCACAATAATTTTATGTTAATAAAATTCGTACCCAACAAATTCTAAGTTGAAATGAAATAATTCCAGAATAATTAGGTCTTCAAATGTTTACATTTGTTTGACTTCTAAAAAATTTACTAACACCTTCAAATCCCCTTTGGTCGGCAGATGAGCTAGATAAAGAGATCTCTAATATGATGTAAAATATTTGGAAAAGTACAAGTGGTCTATAAATCTACCAGTTGCCACTTCGCTAACAAATTCCCAGAGAGGGTACTGAGATACCTGCCCCATTAGTAAATTCACAGACCCGACCTGTAACTACTCCTCAGCTACTTTGGGAGTGCCAGATGGCCAACTCTTTCCTTTATCCTTCTCTACTTCTATATATTTCTTTGTATTGACTTAAGACTCCCTTTCTCTGAAAAGAGAACTCAATCGCTATTAAACCCATGAAAAAACACAAATAAAACCAAGTTTTGCTTCCACTTTTTTTCCTTATTTTGTTTTAATTTTTTTATTATTTTGTACAGTTAAGCCTTTTACAGAAGAAACTACTTGATCACAAAGCCATCCATTAGGGGAAAAAAAAAAAAATTTAATAGAATGACAAAGGCTTTTTCCATGCACAGCCCAACTGGAAAGTCAGTAGATAGGTGTTGAGCATAAAACCCATAACAACACTTCTGCAATTGCTAGCTATACATGGGAGCGGGTAGCCTTGCATGGTTTACAAATTGGCTCTATCTTTAATATGCAAGACTGCATAGTGCCAAACTCTATTTTCAAATGAGTAGCACCCAAGGACAATTGTGGTACTTATTCAAGATGTTCTGTAGTGAACCTTCCTTTTACTTCTACAAATGTGAAAAATTTAAGGAAAAAATAATAAATAAAAAAATAGTAAAGTAAAACAATTGAGAAAATACCTAATTTGTAGTCCTGAGAAAATCCTCCATCGAGAGAAGAAAAAAAAATAAAAAGAACCAAAAATATCATGCGTGTAAATCATTGCCGATAACTTGCCATAATGTAGTTAGTGCTGCAAAGACAAGGTAGCCTCAGCACATAAGTTACAAACACGGTAAAACTAATAAACAGAAGAAACTTAAGTACTCAACTTTTTGAACATCAGACAGTGAAAGCGCTTTAGCTGAATATGAAGCAGATAATACAGTTTAAAATTTAGATTTGCTTGTGGACGGTGCCTTTGCTGACTCTGCCCAGGTGGTAAAAGAACAAACTCATTGTATTCAGAAAATGATACAAGGAAATCATGTATTAAAGCAACCAAAATCATCTGAGTGGGTGCCCATTCCTTATACGAAGATGTGGCTATGAAAATCTTTTAAACAATTTAGCTTAAGAAATACAGACCCTGTCCTCATGGGGACACATCCTAGTGAGGCGTGCTACAGATGCCTGTAGTAGGAGGCATGAAAAATAACAAAGGGCTAATTCAACTGCATTCTCAGGGATATAAAAAACACACACACACACACACAAAAAAAAAAAGAAACACCACATATTACAAATTCCACAACCAGGAGTCACTGACTGGGCTCACCCCTGATCTAGAAAAGTACAAAGACAATCAAATGTACTTACTCTAATCATGTTACTTAGATCACATAAAAAATAAAAAAATAAAAAGGAAGGAAGGAAGCAATAAGACAACTCATACTCACACATCCTTGCTTGCAGCGAGAATCTTTGTGTGAAATTTTACAGCCCAGACAACCATTGATCAGAAGGATGCCTGCTCCAGCTATAACGAAACCACACGGTAGGAGAATGTGGAAGTCATGGAAAAAAAGTTTGTAGTGTCTGTATGCTGACAAGAGGAAAAACACAGCATACAGGATGGCAACAGTCGCAGCCTAAACAAAACAAAAATTTTTTAAAAAGTTAAGTATAGGGTTAATCAGTTATACAAACACTTTTTTTAAAATAGATTTTAAGCCAGGGTTAGCTCTACAGAGCTGTTCGATCAGCCAGCACTTGGAGGGTCGGCATTTGGACATCAATGCCAATTCCCATATCCGTCACCGGAAGTGACCAGCCCTGCAGCAACACATTTTTACTGTATTTAACCCTTTCCTCTGCCACAGGTCAACTTTTCATTCTTTAGCTCTAAACCCTCCTTTTAACAGTCTTATTAACGAACAGGTCACCAGACAGCCGTTTGTACTGACTCTGTATAAATATTTGTTTAATGAACATACACAAACATGTTCAGCAAAATCAAACATTTCCATTATTACATTTTGTAGCCTCCATCTACACTCTTTAAAGCTTTACATCATCTTTGCAAATAGGTTCTTTGCATTGATTTATAAAAAGAGGGAAAATTGTATTTTCATCTCATTAAATACCCCTTTTTATGCAAGACCATAACTAGGTGGCCTTAGCAATTGCTGCTGGATCCTGGACAATGTTGCTTAATCTTGTCGGTAATTATTCCCAAATCCTTCTTATCGTTTCTCTGACTTTGAAGTTTTTGGGGTGTAGATTGTTTTTTGTGTCCATGTTTGTTTTCACCTATGTTAAATCTTGTCTGTTCAGTCCTCATATTTCTCCAAATTCCGTCTGCAGTGAAGGAAAACCTACTCACATTTCCTCACCAGGGTTTGTGCCATCTGTGACTTTCAATGTCCATTAATAAACTGATTTAATGGAAGTTAAAAAAGGACCCAAACCAATTCAGCTCAATGAAGTGATCTGGGTGCCAGGTCCATCTAGGGTTAATCCTGCCTGCTGTAAACATAGCAGTTTACACTAATTAATCCAGCCTCTAGTGGCCGTCTCATTGACAGCCGCTAGAGGCGCTTCCCACTGTGAGAAGACGCTGCCGTCCATAGGAAAGCATTGAGAAATGCTTTCCTATGGACTGATTGAATGAGCTTTAGCCAACTTAAAAACATTCCATTAACAACATATAATTTAAGCCAATGATATGTTTTATTTAAACAACTTGCTATTAATTTGTACAGCAATCTTTTGCGTGGAACGGAATAAAAAGAATGAACAAAATCCACATAGATCAGATCCAAAGCACCACCCATTTTATTTAGGAAGGATTAGCCAAAATCGTCTGATTTCCCCCTGCAGCACATGCATATTACATACCCCAGAGCATCCTCTAATGCACTACTAGTCAGTATGAAAAAAAAAAAAAAAAATGTTGTTATTCACTATGGTGAGAACTGATGGAAATTGAAAGTGAATTTCAAGGTAAAAATAGCAAACTGGAAACATTTTCTAAGCTAGCTAATCTAGAAAAATATAAATCAATTAATAACCTCCATTGTTATCAGTATTCTTCTGATCATACGTTTTTCTTACAGGTACATTTAACTCAGGTTAACGTGCACGTAAACATGCTCTGGTGACCAAAAAAAAACAGTGATACTATTTACCACTGTTCTACTAACAACAATTCTATGGGGTATTTAACACCTTGGTTATTATTGAGAGGGGCAGCCATCAGAGGGGCACAGGCAGTACCCTGGTAAGGTGCCTGCAGGGCCGTCTTTAATATTGATTGGACCCTGGGCAAGCATCTGTTTGGGCCCCCTGGGCATGCAATCACTCCCTCCACCCCAACCTAGAGACGAAACTAATGTAGTGCCTTGGTGCAACAACAAAAAAATTCAGGCCTGCCCTGTAGCACAAGAGTAAAGAAAAGATAGATCCCCATCTGTCATACAACTCCTGCGATGCTATACCAGCTGGGGATCTACCATCCTTCCAGGGTTGTATTTTTGAGCAGTGTTTGTGCAGATGAATGTCAGCACGTTATTGTATAGAGTGTATGTGTGCATGTAGGGGTGTATTTGTATGTACTGTTACCATTGGAATGCAGTGGTGTACTTGTGTGTAGTGTTTGCATTTTAATGCAGGGATGTGTGATTGTTTGTAGTGTTGGCTTTTAAATGCAGGTGTACTTTTGTGTGTAGAGTTGGTGTTTGTATATAATTTTAGCGTTTTAATACAGGAATGTGTTTGCATGTAATGTTTGTATTTGCATGCAGGGGGGTGTTTGGATGTAGTGTTGTCTTTTAAATACATGTGTACATTTGTGTGTAGTATTAGTGTTTCAGCAAACTGGTGTGTTTGTAATGTTTGTGTTTGCAGGGGTCTGTTTGCATGTTGTGTGATTTCTATAACACATATACACATACACATTAACACGCAGATACACACATGCTCACACCTTGACACATACTGGCACACACACACACACACACACACACACACACTCAGATACACACCCTTTGACACACAGATACAAGCACTTTGATATACACACACTGACACAGGTATATACACACACATAAAGGTATAAATGCAGGGGTGTATATGTGTACAGTGCTAGAGATGGAATGTAGGAGTGTATTTGTGTTGGCATTAAAATGCTGGGATGTATGCATTACCACACACTCAGATGCACACTTACACACACACACGGGTGTATGAGGTATCCATACACACAGAAACACTGACACACAGACAAACACAGCCAGATACACACACACACACACATATATATGTGTACATTTACATATTTTAATCTCTGCCTTCTAGCAGCTCTTGGACAGCAACTCCCAGCAACCATGGCCAATATAATATCTCAACTCTGTTCTTACATACCCTGGTCCAGAATTTGGCAAAAGTGACATTTGAAAATGGTGTACAGCCTTTGATAACACTTGATGCAATAATATGTTAAAATAAATACTTTTTAAATTTATATTTAATAGGGAACTGTCAGGTTCTTCTAGGATTTTAACATGTACTTATTCCCTGTGTGTTACATTACAAACACCAACACACTTAAATAAAAGTGATATCAGAAATTAGCAAAACAAAAAACAAAACATATTTAGCCACCCTCCTGTCTCCTTACATTTTGGGTACAGAAAGGTGGCTTCCCTGGGGTCCAGTGAGAGCTTGCTGGCCCAGGCTGATGGGAGTCTGCCATCAGCTTTCTCAGTCCCTCTCCCCCACAATGCTTGCATCCTCCGTGTGGTGTGTGCCTCCTCCCCAGCGGCACTGAGGAGGAAGTGATCAGTTCTTACTGGGAGGAAGCAATCTGACCTCACTGCCTCCCAGCATGCCCAGGAAACAAAGAGACTCACAGGGCAGTATGTGAGGGGGCTAGCTGTGAGTATGTAGTCAGCCACCCCCCATATAACAGGGGCCCGGGCCAATCCAGAGCAGTATTAAAGGGCTGTGGCCCATGATTACCTCAGGTGCCGCAGGGGGCCCATGGGGCAGATGCCTTAGGGCCCCCAGGAGTAACTGGGCCCGGGGCAGCTGCCCCTTTTGCCCCTCCTTAAATACGGCCCTGGGTGCCTGGTCAAGCTCAGAGGACCTGTTGCACTTAGTCTTCTAATTGGGGGAGGGATATATCTTCCCTAGCAGGGCTACAATAAGCAGCAGCATTAGGGTCGTCAGAAGACGTTACAAATAGGAGACCATCCTCCCATTGTATTGTACCAACATTCACCTCTTATCAGGAGGAACTACGATCGGTATATTTCTGCAGAACACTTTTTTTTTTTTTTTTTTATTGTTCTAGTAAGTACATGCAGGCTTGCAATGCCACAACAGCAAGAGCAAACATTTTCGTAATAAACAGTTTTATAGAGTCATGGCACTAAGATTTTGCACATTATTGTAGTAGAAAATAATAAAACTGTAATAATGCTGATAAGTACACAGTGCGTTGTAACGAAAGAAGGTATTTTGTAATAAATGCTTAGCCTATGCACTGGTAACAAGGAACTGGTCAAAATAAAAATACATAAATTATATTTTGGACTGCAACACACGAAGTTAGAACAAGCAGATACCACTGGAGCCCCCAGATTAAAACTTCAGGCATTCCTCTGTCTATTGGCTACAAGGCCACTAACTTAGGCATGTATATAGGCTCTCTAAACATGGTTGACCATCAGGCTACTCCCGTTCACCTAATGAGAAAGTCCCAGCTTTTTCCGGGCCACAGCACGCATCATGTGCCCTCAGATCCGGCACTCTTGTGAGTCGACATCAGAGTTAAGCAGTGATGTGAGGTTCGTCCTCTCAGGACTCTAGGCCCAGGTAAGCAGCCACAAGGATCTGAACGGCTGAGTACGGAGATGGGACCGACAGCCCTCCTCTGAGTTTCGAGGCCTCAGTAGGATGGTGCAGCATCGTGAGTGAGAGCCTTTCAACACTTTCCTTGATGTGTCAGCCTGCAGGTGTTCTCAGGGAGCTGTGATTGGCAGCCATGTTGTGATCGGGGCGCGGGAATCCAGGGTCATGTAAGCTTTAGTCAGTCATAATCTTAGTGTCGGATCCCTCCAATGGCGACTGGGATAACCCCCGCTGGTCCAATGGGGAGAGGGGGGGGGGTCTAACGGGACCAGTTGGAGTCTGAGTGCCGATGTTGGGAAGCCGGAGATAAGAGCAGGGCAGCGGCCATCCGCTTAGCTCCTCTCCCAAGTAGGCCGCAGACACCGAGTTTGGAGTCTACTACACCACCAGCATCCACCCGCAGCGTCTGCCTTCTGTTCCTGGCTCAGGAAAGCTAGTAAGCCCCTTGATTCACTTTAAATAGACATTCCCTGCAGGAGCCTCTCCCGCATGCAACCGGTCAGCATGGCAGTCTGGCCCCGCCCCCTTTTTAACAATATTTTGATGTCCAACCATTATTGCTCCACGTAGAATTACCAGTTCAGTGGATGTTCCCCTCTCGTTCTTACACTTTATAGATTTTAAAACACACCCATCAATGTTAGCCTGGTCTACTAAGGGCCAATAGTATGTTAGCACTAACTTTATTGAACAAATTGTGCTATCATGCAAAGGCATTGTTTAGTGAATAATCCCCTTATTCAGGCTGGCACTGTATCAGATTGGCTGGTGGTTATTTTATATGTATATAGTTAGGTGTCTTGGGGTTATTAGGATTATGGCTTTGTTCTTTTAAATATCTTCTATTAAAAGTTAAAGTTTTAATCTATTTTTTCTAGTCTCTCATGGTTTCATTCCTCAGGGCAATAATCTACCTTTACCCATCCCTCCTGATATCCTCTTTTCAAGTAATTATGTGTCAGACATTGTTCATCTGTGCAAATCTGTGCATGAATGTCTGACATTGTGTTTGTGTGTATTCTGGAAGAGTGTATGGGTATAATACTTTTTCTGAAACAAGCAACATGCATAACAGACAAGGAAGCAGCGAAAAAAAAAAAAAAAAAAAGTAAGTTTGAAATCCACTAGTAGGTTAGAGCAGTGGCTCCCAAAGTTTTTAAGTTCAAGGCACTCTTAATATTTTTCCAGGGCGCCCAAAGTTAAAATAGTTTCCTAGGTTGTATATATGTACAGCGCAGCGGCATATACTGGGCACCTGTCTGTTTAGCGTTTGAGTGACAGCCACTAGAGGTGGTGTTAGGCTGCAATTGAACTACCTTTTTTCATTTAAGAAAAAAAAAAAAAGCAGTGTTTTCACTGGAAAGACTGCTTTGACATTCTTTTTGCCCCAGAACCACTAAATTAAAGTGGCACTGTTAGCCCCCTGCTAGTTAAGGTGCAATTTTGAGTCATAGTCTCCAACAAAAATAGTGCAATTTAGGAGTGACAGAAAGGAATATTAGCCAGTGACATCACAACTGCAAGTGCTGAATCCAGCAAGGAAGTAGCTTAGAATGGGAGGGAGGGGAGAGCATTTTTTTATTTTTATTCCTGTAAATCTCCCAAGTATTTTCCCACTTTTAGCACTATATCCCAAACCTGAATTTTTTCCTTTACTGAACCAAATGAGTTTAACACAAACGTTAACAGCAGCAGAATAATACATATTTGGAAGGAGTGATAGTTTAAAACTGATCCTATGAAGACTTGAGACCCCTGCCCTTTGTGCTGTCAGGGTGCCTCTTCTACAGAATGGCGATAAGTAAAAAGTATCAAGCTTAGAATGTCCGCTACTATAGCAGCAGGAGAGCAAAACAAGTATAGCCTGAAATCCAGGTTACATTCTTTTTGGAACATCACCCCCTACTGGGACCAAAACAACCAGCACTTTGTTTGACTATCGGATTAAACCCATGGGAATTACTGGAGCCAATTAATATGACGCAGGGATACTTTGGGGGAACTTTTATGGGATATTAAAAAAAAAAAAAAAGACTTTATGATCATGTTTACCATATGTTGTTTCGAGACAAAAAAAAAAAACAAAAAAAAAAAAAGTTTTAATTTGTTTTGTTTTTTTTAAAGGCAGGAAGTGGATGCAAGCAGAAACTATTAACTGATATAAAATGGCAATAACAAGTGGATTGCCTAATTTAAAAAAAATAAATAAATAAAAAAAAAAACAACACAGATTTACAGATTCAGTCCAGTAATCAATACAAACGCCTATGGGATCAATAAGATACATAGAAACACTGTGTGATAAAACAACACAACTGCTAACATCCATTTAAGGGGTTAAATGACAGACACTACGTGTGAAAAGTTTTGAAGTCAAACAGATTCACCAAGTTATTGGACTACGTGGTAAAGTGAGATTTACCAAGTTCCGATTCATTAGAATGACAAATATTTAAGTCGATACAATCACAGAACATTCAACAGTCCTGTTAAATGGGGAGGGGGGGGAGTTGTGATATTATGTTTCTTTCAGTAGTTATATTGTTAATTTTGACCCAATGTTAAATGACTTACCCAGAACAGAAAAGCAAAAATCCTCACAAACACGGTAGATATTAACTCTCCATAACGCCCCATGTTAAGAAAGTCTGAGTTGTGAAAACACTGGACTGCAATAGCTCCCAGTCACCGCCCATTCAGCTCACATGATTTACCGTGAGTTTATCTTTTTACAACCATGCCTAGCTATTTAAAGGGACACAGGTGACAATGACAAATGCCTGGAAGGAATATGTGAACCGAGTAATGTGTAAAATGTATGTGGTTTTGTTTTAACCTCAGAGAAGGCTTTAATTCACTCTTAGAATTATATCCTCCTATGTAACAATTCACCAGCAGACAAGGTTATTAATAAAATTAGAATTCAAAATTAATTCAAATAGGATTATTCACCAAAGTGAGAATTCAAAGTGAATTTTAAATTTAAGGCCAAAATAGCCGAATTGGAAGCAAAGCTGGCTTAGAGAATGTTTCCAGTTCGGCTATTTATACCTTGAATTTTAAGTTCACTTTGAATTCACCTTGAATGCTCACTTTTTAGTGAATAACCCTGAAAGTGAATTTCAAATTTAATTCCAGATTAGTTGAACTGGAAACGTATTATAGAATTTTCCAAGATCAGCTATTTATACCTTAAATTCAATTTGAAGTCTCACTTTAGTGAATAACCGTGGGAGGTATTCTCTATGGTGAGAATTGTCAGTAATTCAAAGTGAATTTCAAATTGAAAGCCACGGTTGGGGAACTGGAAGTTTGGGTGACTTGGAGAATTTTTCCAGTTTGACTATTTTGACCTTAAATTTAAAATTCACTTTCAATTTTCATCAGTTCTCACTTTAGTGAATAACTGTGTTTCTAAACACATATACGTTTTTTATACTGACCGCTAGTGCATTAAAAGATGTTCTGGTGTCTGTAATGTGTATGTGATGCAGGAGGAAACGGACAATTATTGCTAATCCTTCCTGAAGAATACATGGTTATGCCTCCTGTAGCAAAATGCTATTTACTTCAGATAACCAGTCTGCAATGTTCTTCTTATTTATAGATAAGGGCAGACAGACCCCCCCCCCCTTCCCCTGTCCCATAGTGTTCTTTCCTCCCCCCCATCCCCTGTCCCAAAGTGTTCCTTCCCCTCCCCTTCCCTGTCCCAAAGTGTTCCTTGCCGCCATCCCCGGTGTGTCTCCTACCTTTCTGGTAGTGTGGTTGAGCGGAGCAGACCGCGGTACAGTAGCTTCGGTTTCCTGTACCTGGTCAGACTGACAGGGGTGCAGGGGTGCTGGGGTTTTGTACAGCGGGGTTGGGGCTTTGTACAGAGGGGCTGGTACGTATACACCCATGTATTCTTCAGGAAGATATTTATGACCCTCTGCAAAAATGGTGTCTATTTTCTAACAAACCTGTGTCTTATCTGCACTCATGTCGCTTTAACCCCTGTATCACAACTCAACTTTGAATTCTATGTGTCGTCTTGCTCAGAAATGCTTCAGACTTGAGAAAGGGAGGTTCTCCCGAAAGCTTGTCATTAAAAAATTCTGTTAGTCCAATAAAAAGGTATTACAAGATACAAATTTTATCTGTTTTTTACATATATATATATATATATATATATATATATATATATATATATAAATGATTGGAAATGACCGCACTCCAAGGACTTGATGATAGTAAAAATAAAATATAACTTTTACTCTATATCATTTAAAAATATCGACGTTTCAGCCCCAATACATGGGCTTTCATCAGGATGGCAATAAAATGGCAATATTGCCATCCTGATCAATATTGCCATCCAATCATTTTTTTGTATTTCGTGCCTGACCATCACTGGCAATTACTCTCTAATCCAGGAGTGCAAGCATCTCAGTTTTCTTATATGTGGAAGGCATATGCCTGAATTTGTGGGAGGGGTTATTTTCCTATTTAAATCCCCAGTAACCCCTAGCTTACCTATCGTCACCGTCTGGAAGTTCTATGATCACTTCCGGTTCCAGTTTCGCCAGAAGAACTCCCCACGTGGTTTCCAAGAAACTGTCTGGCAATTTAGCAGGTCCTCGGACCTTGGACTACCGTCCCCAGCCTCAACCATTAGAACACAGTTGGTCTCAGCTATACTAAACTCCCGGGGGAACTTGAACTTCCGGTCAGCTGACAGCACCCGGCAACAGTGAGTAAAGGGAACATGTGTCAAACTACCGAACGAGAGTCGCGCTCACACGAACACCAAATACATTTGTACGTGATTTGGCTATTCAAACGCAATATTCACTTTATACGTTATCCGTCTAAAAATCTCCTTTCGTACATTTTAGTCATCCGGCTACCTAGTGTCTTACATTCATTCAATCATACGAACGACATTTCGTCTCAAGCCACATTCGCATTTCTGCTTTGTAGCCAGAGGTTTTCAGAATACTGCACCACTATATGATAAATTTTTAGTATGTTAATCTATTCACATGTTCTTACTCACATATTGTACTGCAATCATTCTGTATTATTACAGAACAGTTAAAGGGATAAAATCCTGGTGAAAGCAGGTTTGTTGTATTGCAATTAGAGTGTGTGCTTTGTAAATTTCCTTCTTACGACTTGTTGATTGTACATTGCACGTACGGAGAACTGTGATATACAAACGTGCGCATGCCTGTTAGATTGTTGCAAATTGTTTCACAATAAATGTCACTTTAAATAGAAGTCCTGTTTAGGTGCTAATATGTACAATCTTGCAAACCCCTGACCTGTTTATTACAGCATGGTACTAAATTCAGGTTTGGTTTGATACAAATGAAAATGGTGATCAGTAGATTTGCATAGAGTTTGTTAGAACGCCAAGCCGTTGTAAGTATTAAATTATAGTTCATTATCTGTCTTTTATGAACGGTAAGTCCATGGCTATTTGACTCCCCAATGGTGCGCAGCTAGTTGTAAATTATGGACATATAGCGCTGGTTGCTATCTGGTCAGTTTCTCTCATCATGAGATAGCATTTCACTTCCAGATAACGATTTCATGATGCTCATTGTGGATCAGGGCTATGGCTTGAACAGAATCTGAACGGAACAAAACAGGGGCAGGAATCGGCAGAGCAGGAATAGCTCTGCTAAGAAAGCATTTCTACCTTACATCTAAAGGTTTCCATTTCCTACATTACTGTTTGAAGGTTAATAAGTGTTCAAACTAAACGGCAAAGAAATAAATCATTTGCACAACGGTACATTTTTTTTTTCTCTTGAAGATATTAACATTTCGTCCCAAACTAATTGGAAATCTATCTAAACATGTTCAATTTATCTAATTATCTTAATCTGAAACATTTTATAAGAATCAATGCGTAAAAAAAAATAAAATTAAAAAAAAAGTTACTTATAAATTTGCAGAGTATGTTATATATTTTGTTTGTATATTGTTACTAATATGTTAAATCTTTGGATTTACCTTGTGAAATTGTTCTCCTCCATTTCCAGGAATAACAATTCGGAATATAAATATAAATTACGCTAAGTTACATAATTTACGGTTCGGTTAGTAAATACATAAAAATTTCTGACGTATTCAGCTTTGCATAGACTACCTACATTTAAGACCTATCATAGCCTGATTGCCTTGACCTGTACGCCTCTGCTCAGACAAGCACATGTGAGTCTAAACAAAGTGCATTAAACTTGCACTCACGTTGTAGCGGAACGTTGGTCTCTCACAGACTATTTCCGCTGGTAGTCCAGGTGTGGCTCAGGAACAAGCAATAATCCCAGGCACAGTACCCACAGTGAGAGAATAATCCACCACCATAACAAGCACAATCAGCAGTAAACTCCAATAGTATCCCATCACCTTTCCCAATAACTGGACGACACACAGTATCAGGGGCAGAACTTAACTAACTTTTAATCACACAACCACTGCTTTTATGCAATGCTCCCGTGCAAGGGAGCCACCCACAATAATTAGTACATTAACCAATAAAGTACAAGGTACAACCCACACATCTCCTCCCATCAGCTTATCTGTTAAAAGAATTAAAATGTACATATTTTTCCCCAAGTTCTAGATGCAGTGGCGTAGCGTGGGTTGTCAGCACCCGGGGCAAGGCAAGTAATTTGCGCCCCCTAACCCGTGGATTTTAGCACTCGAGTCTCTTCCACTAGATTAGTTAAAGAAACCCTTACCCCCCCAAGCACATGTATTGTTTGTTATGAAAATACTTATGTAATTAAAGTAAAATGCATCTAAATACAAGTTTATTTTCCAACACTTTATTGAGTGCGAACATGCATTACACACATTCTCCACATTTTCAGCAGGTCTATGAATACAAATATACAAATGTAGTAACCTAGCATGGGCCATGCTATTATATGTCGTCTCACAACCATCGTAAACGACAAAAAATATCAAGAACAAAAACTAAACATCAAAATGGAACCATACCCTGGAGATGATCCAAGACTGGTCTAGATGGAGCCAACTTCCTCAATCCTGTACCTCTAATTGTAATTCTTTAATAGAAGTGCAAGATATCAATCTGTATATAATATACAGATTAATTTAAATTCGCCTGCTTTATTTAGCACAAATTTTTCAACAACGGAATAGTGTTTCTTTAATGTGAGGTAAATTAGAGATTAGTGCCACAAATATTATACTAGATTGCCTACTTACAACGAGATGAGGATGATGATGGGCTCTAGCTGCAGTCTGGCTCCACTGGTCTGGTGTAGAACAGGCTCTCTGGAGGCTGTTTGTAACTGTGGTCAGGGCCGGACTGGCCCACCGGGATACCGGGAAATTTCCCGGTGGGCCGTCGTCACCTGGGGCCGGGCAGACAGCCGGCTCACCTGCGGCCGCAGAGGGAGCTCCCTTGGTGGCCGCAGGGGGAGCTGGCTGTTCTGCCTCTGCTCCCCCTCCCCAGCGCGCTAGAAAGAGACCGGGGCCAGAATATGACGTCATATTCCGGCCCCGGTCTCAGTAAGACATTGGTCCCCAGGTAGACATTGTGTGTGTCAGTGTGAGTGTATGTGTGTGTGTGTCTGTATCATGGTGTGTCTGTGTCATTGTGTGTGTCTGTGTGTCTCTGTCTGTCATGGTGTGTGCGTCTGTGTCATGGTGTGTGTCTGTGTGTCTCTGTCTGTCATGGTGTGTG